TATACTAATGTTACAAGTACCTACTGTCAAATTATTCGAGTAACTACAATTTTCTGATTAATTTATTACACAAGTTATTATTTAACACTAAATATTTACTTCACTCACAACTTTGCAAATTGAAAGTACGTTATGTTAAATAGTCAACTATTGAAAATTTAATTTTAATATAGATTAATTAAAATAAAGATTTAATACAAAACGGGATACTGTATGTTAACTAAGAGTTCTATCAGCGTTCTGTGTAATATATAGTCAATGAAATCGCGATTTTTTTTTTTTTAATCATATAATTTGTAATACGTACGAGTATAAAATATTCGTAGAAACGATATTCTTTATATTTAGATTATTGATTTTAAAAAAATGTGCGTATGATCTATTACATATTTTCAAAATATTTAGTTATTTGTTTTTCAAAAATTAGATAAATTTACACACATATACACTAAAAGTCAAAAAATCTAAGCGGACTATTGAAACCGTAAAATAAATAAATTTTTATGTGAACTGGAATTTCTTAATTGTTTTATCATTCTTCCATTAAACTACACAAGTACTTTTCCCTCAATGAATAATTAGTTTTTATTATGACCAAAGGGTAAACGATTTATAATGTTAACTACAAAAAGTATTTAATACGGTCAACCATTCTGTTTTACAATTTGCCATATTTTTTACATACCGCCATGTCAAATAGAACTTCCATATACGTAATCATAGTTGATAACTTATTCTATTCATTTTTTACTACATATTTACCTTTTAGAGGCATGGAGCGGCAGAATAGTTAATTGGTTTCTCAACGATCGCTTTTGATTAAGCTATTCTTCGGTCACTAAATCTTAAATTATAGTGACTTAACTTATAACTGAGCACTGACAAAAATATTAAATTGAACCGATATACCTAATAGCATTTTAAAATATATATATATATTTAATTTCTTAATTTATATTACCTATGTTTTACTTATACATGTATTATACAAAATTAAAAATGAATTGTATTTTTTTAATAGCATATGAATAACGAACGTTTGAAATGAAATTGTCTTTTACCAAATTGCTTATGTATCAAGTCAGTAAACAATATTAAGTACATTAGGTAAATTTCACCTGTTCCAGTTTCGTTTATACTATATATTGAATTTATTCTTGAATCTTGTGAAGTATAAAATAATACATTTATACTACAATTATATTTATTTACAAAAGTGTAATATAATGATTGTTAATTTCTCGTTATTTCAATGAAATATTTAGTGGAACATAAGAGTTTTGTATTTTATTTTTCATGATACTATCTTCAAGGCAATAAAATAGTTTAATTTAGAAAATCATTAAGATTGAAAATGGTAAAATTTATTTTATTTACTTATAATATAATCATAACCCGTATGTTAATAAGTATCAAAAATTCTAGTAAAAATAAAACACAAAAATTGACTAATAAAATAAAAGTAATCCACCGCTTAATTAATTGATCACCCTGTATATAATAGTAATATAGATGAAATGAATTTTTTACACGTAAATAACTACCTAGGTTCTATTTTTAATAAATATGAATCATGAGGGCAAGTGATGTGGGTGGTACCTACTGTAATTATAATTTTACATTTCGTGCATATAATCAAGAGCAATCGTTTTCAAATAATTATTTTTAGCATAATTGCATAAATAAAAATAAATAAAACTAAATACTGCTACCAGTGTTGCGACACAAGTTGTATTTATTTTATTTTAGATTATAATACATTCTATAATATTATATTAATTTTATAAATCAAAAATTTTAATTATCTTAGCTTAGTCTAAAATTTGATTTTTTTTCAATTTCTTAAAATTTTTTTTTTATTTTTTAGTTGACTAAAATTATTGATTCAAATTTTTAATTGAGGATACACATTTGTAACACACATTTTATAAAGTTATACAGTAAATACCCTTTACAAATACTAGAAATTTTAATTCTAGTCCACTATCATTAATTTTTTATTTCTTTTATAAATTGTAAAAATTTAGTATTAAAATTAAATTATTGTGAACTTAATACTCAATTTATGTTACTTATTACAGTTATAAGATTTAATTAGAATGTATTATTTTAACAAAATAATAATTTGACTTTTGAGTAGCCGTAATTGTTTTGACACATAAAATCAGGTATTTGACATATGGTCAGACATCTGTAACTCGAAATTCAAAACAGCTGTCTACGGAAAAATGTTATCACCTATCTGTAGGTAGTTTGAATCGTATTGATGGACATATAACACTTTTATGTTGGTTTTTATTAATTGTATCCTATGTTTTACTTCAATCTCTTAAATATTTGGACTTGTAATGTAAATAAATTACAATCAATAAGAACAATATTTGAAACTATATCCAATTTTTTCTTTTGTTTTTAATACATACGTGGTATATATATTTTAATCTCTATTCAATATTGGTCGTGTGTTTATTTTAATTTTACCATTCTAAACACCTACTTAACCCGACTGTTTAGGACTTATGATGAACATTAAATGAATCCTAAAGCGTTGTTATGAAATATTTATTAAATCTTTATTTGGCTGCAATAGTATTTATTTTCCGCCTACACACACGTCACAATAAACCAGTTGACATTAGATTACCCCCAGGCGAATTAAATTAACAGGTAATCATTTTTAAATGATTACGTTCAAAACTTGACTGACATATATTCGATTTAGCGACCGTACATGTAAAATACTTAAACGATAAATTAACGATTAAAATTTGGTTATTTGCTATAATATTTCAATTTATTTCAAGTTAGTTACGTTGATTGCGTGAAGCGGACAGCGACCGCACTGTTGTAATCAAAGAGTTCCTAACCGTCAGAAACTTTTCTTGTAACTATGCATACCATACCTGTGGAAAGTTTTGATTTGTTGTCGACTAATACATAGTTTCTTTCTACAGCCGTCGGATAAGTAATTCATTACGCTGAGATGGAAAGTTGAGCAGTGCATTTTTTAAACTAGTCAACTAAACCAGTGATTCTCAACCTTTTTGAGTTCGCGACCCCCTATAATGTTACCAATATCTCTAACGACCCTTTTGTAATGTATGCATTGAAAAATCGTACAAACTGTTATTATTGTATTTATTTGTGTATACATTTTACAAAAAAAAGGTTTATTATAAAATTCGATTAGCGTAAATTAATAGAAAAAAAAACAATAAAAATGATGTAAATTTTAATATTTTTTAAATTTAATGACTCTTTTGCTGCTGTTGATTTGAAATAATTTTTTTTTACATGATGTGACCCTAAAAAAATTGTTGGTGACCCCCAAGGGGGTCGTGACTAGGGTTACCAACTCTTATTTACAGATAAGCAGGAAACCAGATATTTATATGCGGGACTTGACAAAAAAAAAGCAGGACATGCTTACAAATTTATAGAAACAAGAGAAAACGATTTTAATAATTTTTATCAGTTTTATTTAAAATTTGAAATATTCATGTAAAATTAACAGAATAATCGCTATTTTAAAGTAATCATTAAAAGTTTTTTTTTTTGCACAAATTAGTAAATAAAGCACTTTGCCCAAATAAATAGGGTTCATTGAGTACCCTATCATAAGACAATTATTTTTTTTCTTTTTGAAAGAGTGCTTGTGTACTGATTACTGAATTGAATCTATAAATACTATCAATTTTTGATTAAACCGGTACGTGCAATCGACTCTGAAAGAATTTCGAATGGAAAATAGTTTTAAATGCGCACAATAAGAATGTAAGGCTTCTATATAAAAATAATTATACAGAATTACCAAAAGCGAGACAATTAGTGTCCTGCGGATACGCATCGCAGGACGCATTATTTGAGCCCTGGAAACGGAACGTCCCACCTCACGCGGGATGGTTGGCAACCCTAGTCTTGACCCCCCCCCCCCCCCGGTTAAGAATCGCTGAGCTAGACGACACAAATGTTGCCCAATAAAAATATTTTTTCGTCTAGTTAATAGTATTTTGAAATAATGGGTAAAACCCAATTAACTGTCAAAAGAAGATTGAAATTTTGAATTTTGTAAAAAAAAATAATTAGGTGAAGTACAATAGATACGTTTGTGCATAATAAAATATATCATCAATATTTACTATTTCTATCAGCATTAAGATTAATTTTTAATTAATATACGATGTGAATGTGAAATACCATCGTGCTCTTAATATACATTGACTATTTTGAGAAGAAAATGGCTTGTCACCCGAAATTTCTTAAAATTTCTTAAAAAGTGTACTACGGTGAGACTATACTCGTCGCACGTTATCACAACGATGACGCATAGGAGAACGATGCCAGATTAATCCTTTCAAAAATTATTATCTTTTAAATACGACAATAATGATTATTGTTACGTATTTACGTCAATATCAAACCCTGAGTAGCAAACAAACGAGTACAAACTTAGAAGAGAAGGCTGAATTGATTACATTAAACAAAATTAATAGATTAGACAAAGGCGTTTTGTGATTGGTTTTAACTGTAATTATTTTATATTTTTTTTTTATAAATACTAGATTATTATCTAGTATTTATTTAATATATATTTCTATATACTATAATGTAGATCGGATCGATTTCGTTTGTGATACTGGCACAATTATTCTAGCCAAACGCACAATGTTCCCTTTGCAAAGTCTTATTATAAGTTTAAATTCACGGACCCGTAACAATTCTAATTATTCAATGATCTAAGTTAAATGTACATATAATCAAATATCGAAATATTTAAATTGTGTTGATAAAATATATTGATGTATTTGTTTTAAATAATGGTACACAAATCAAACTAAGTCAATACGTAGTACAATTTTCACAAAAAACTTATATTTTTACAGAAAAACTGTACACGGATAAAGTATATTTTATAAGATTTCTGATTACAATATAATACATTTTAAAATATAGGTTAATTAATAAGTTAATTGTTTTAAGTAATTTATACACATATGACCAAGGATCACTTTTTAAAAATAAATTATTTAGTCATAATCAATAGGTTATCTATGTTCCTTATACACAAAGATTATGTACGAATATTTAAATTATAATCGTTATATAAGCACAATATTAAAAACTTATCATCTAACTTAATCGCTCGAATAAATGTAAGTATAATATGTATGTCATTTGTTTCTAAACTAAAATATATTAAATGAATTACCTTGGTATTCACCTGAATTAACATTAGTATTGATGTTCGGTGTTGTACTGGCTCCGTTACAATTGTACATAGCGTTAACTTTTCGCAAGTCATTAACCGTAGCTCCATTTCTTTGTCCCAATGCCATACTTGAGTCATACTTGAAAACAATCATATATTAAAATTAATTTTATTTATTATAATAAATATTTAAATGGGAAATTCAATGACTATATTATAAAATATAATAATGAATTACTTATTATAATACAAATGCAAGTAGTATTATTAATTTATTCACACTGCCTAGCATTTTAATAAATAAAAGATTTACAACGTAATTATAAGTAATATTCAAAAAAAAAAAATATAGCCGGTCTAAAAGAATAAGAATTTTTTTTTTTAATTAAAATATTAAATCTTAACTTCAAAGAAGTCCCATCACTGGATGGGTTCTTCGCTCAAGTCTCCAGTCTTCTTATATAAATCTACTACAACACTTACACTTATTGTAAAAATAATATATTTACAGATTGTGTAATAAAACAAATAAAAAAAAAAAAAAAAAAAAAAAATCTTAATTTTGAAATCAGCAGTGGAAAGACATTCAACGCAACAAAAAAAATCATGTTTTCTTAAGATTGTTTTAAAATTTTTGGAAATAGTAAGAATAGAACATACATATGTTTCAATTACATACTTGTAAATTTACATCTAGCATTTTATGTTTTGCACATTTGTAGATAAAAACTTCAATTATGTGTAATTATATAATTAGTAATAAATTTTATTAATTTAAAATGGACTTCCATTGCATTTCAGTGAACATATAAAACAGATATGTGCAATCTTATTTAAGTGTTTGTTAATTAGATTTTAGAGCTTAACATCAATCTAAGTTAAGTTTAACATTTGATAACATTTTTCTAGATGCATGAAGTTTTATGAAACCGCTTAGTTTACTGTTTATATAATAATTGTTCTCATTTTAGATTTATTAGTAAAACCAACTTCTGTTTCAAAACTTGACCCAACACCCATTCGAAACATAGAAAAATAAACTTTTATTCGGTACCTACTAAAGTGAAAAATATTTCATTACAATCTATGCTGATGAAATTAACTTTGGTGGATGTAGCTCTTTATTTTATATTTTAAAATCGTATGTATCTCGTTAATTTGATTATTATAATATTATTATTTAAACCCGTAATTCATGATTATTTTTCATGTTTAAGATTTAAAGTGACTAATTCTTTCAGTAAATTATTAAATACATATTTTGAGTTTAATAAGTCTCATTTCAGTTAGACAGATTTCAATTTTTTTTTTTTTTAATTACCATATTTAAGCTATTTAAAATGCTTTTTTGGTATTTTCAAATAATTTTATTTAAATAACATACAAATAATTTATATATTTGTCATATCCAGAGTTGTAACCGGATCTTATACATTCTACAATTTTTCATTTAGACTAATGAATTAACTAATGAATGGTTATTATTATTTATATTCAAAAACACTTCTGGAGCACGAAAATATATAGCACAACATCAATAATTTTGTTTCCAAATTTTTATAATTATAATTACTAAAATATTTTTAAAATTAAAATAAATCTTTGATGAATTATTTGAAAAAAAAAATAATAATAATAAAATACGTTTGATAACCATTTTAATTGAAAATGTAAATAATTGGTTGCGTAAGTAATTGGACCATGGCTTAGTTTTAAATCCACACCAAAATAACGTTATATTGTTATATTATATTGACGTTTACAATTAACCGTGTGTGGTACTAAAATAAAGATTAAGGTCTTACGTTGGAATGCTTTGCAGGAATTGCGTTGTGACAATAGCGACAATTTTACGGCGAAGCTTAGCTATGCCACCATTCAAAGCTAACAATCTCAACATTTATAGCAATTTTTGAACTAATAGTATGTAATCTACTTTTCTTCAATTTTTAAAATTATTATAACTAGGAAAAAAATAAAAAAGTTTTTCGTTTTTTTTTTTTTCTGTCGTGAACGACATTTATTTTACAAATATTTTTTTTATCCTAAAATACCTGCAACTCAAAAGCTTGAAAACTACGTCTAGTACTACGACGGAGTAGTGGTTAGTGCACAACAACTTACCTTTGCCACGATGGTTTCTTTGCCATTTTTCGAAAACGCGAAACGCGGGTAATGCATCACACTGGTGTAGTCGTAAGGCAGTCCGAACGAAGATGTAACGTTGTCGGGCACCTTGTTAAAATCTGGCCAGTACGCTGCGAGGACACGGAAAAAAGGAGATTGATTTGTTTTCTTCTCGTCCCTTGACCCCCCCCTCCACACCCCTCGTCCCATTCGCGTGCGCCGTTACGGACGAAACACTCTTACCCTTGTCGATGTTCTCCCAATAGATCGTCACCGCTTTGTCGCGGTCGTTTCGCGCCTGTTCGTGCAGCAGCCCCACAACGTGAAGCAACTCGTGCTGCACAGTGCCCTGGTAGGCGATGCACGAGGGCGCTTCCAGATTCATCATGTGCGGCGACCCCATGTCCCGGTGGTAACCTATCATGGCATAGCATCCCTTGTTGTGCTCGCGCACTATATACAGGTGCTCGGCGTGTCCGAGATCCTGCAGGGCCCTGGCGGACGAGCCGTCGTTCTTGTCGACGAACCTCAAACAAGTCTTGGACTCAATCGCGTCCATAGCCATCCGGATCCGTGACCGTTCGTCCATCGCTGTACAGGTCGCCAAACGAACAGTTAATGATGATGATCCGTCGTGATAGATAACATTTTTACATTTTTTTTTTTTTTTGATCTTCAAACGATCATAAACAGCTTAGCCACTGTACTAACTCCGCTAACTTTAGTATACACGGTAACTGACGATTGGGTATTTTTTTTCGACATGCGATCGGTAGCCTTGTTGCTATTGCTGTTTTTTATTTTTTGAACAGAAAAGTAATACTACTCGTACGGAAGAACACGTCTACCGATCATGTCCGGATAAAATCAATCTTACTAAATTTTTTATGTAACGCGGATATGTATTAATCAAGTTAAATGCATTTCGATAAATGCTGCTGACCATATTCGTACGTTATCAAAAAAGTAATTAGATTCCTATTCCCGTTTTTTTATTTTACTTCATAGAACCGTACCAAAGTATTATCAATATTTGTCGTAAATAATTCACTTACATTATTGTAATCATCTCGATTACAAATTTCCATTATAGTAATTTACACGAAAAGTAAGATTGAATATTATCGTTTTATAGTCAAATTTATAATAAAATATTAAAATGGCTTCAAATTATTTTTACTCTAAACGTATTTTGAATAAAAAAAATCTTTTTAAATAACCCAACAAAGTCGCTGCGCTGATGATTCGATAAAAAGCAATTGACCGCGACATACAAATGTATAAAGTGAGAAGGTGGTATAATTAAATTTGCATTGTCAGTATTTTAGTTAGTAAATGTTAAAAGCATATGATGGAATGCATACTATGTACGTTTAAATATAATTATAACAGGGCATAACTTTGATTAAATGCTAAAAGCTTTGAATGTGAAATTGTAAAGGAAAATGTCACTCCGTAGAAAAAAAAAAACTGTATGATAGTATTATAACAATTTATATCTGTTCTTTGTATAGTTTTATTAAATATCATTATTAAATCTAATTAAATTGTATATTTGATCATTTGATTTACTTACTAAAGTTATAATGAATTATATACGGAACAGTTGCTTTCGGCCATTTATAATAGTCTGACAGTATAGCATTTCTGGAAATGGGAAGCATAATATCTCCTTGATATAGCCGCGAACTCAATTCCGGATACATATCTGTTCAAATAGATAAAAAAAATGCCTAAGAAATGAATTTGATATTGAATACTCTTTTTATTTTTTAACCGAAATCCCGGCTTTTATGTACACTAGTAGTCTAACATACTATAACCTATGTTAGGTTATAACCTATGTAGTAATTAATTAAAAAACAATAATACGTTATTTTACACCAAGCCTATATAGGTGCTTATAATTATATTATGTAAAACATTTTTTGGACTACTGGCTCTCAACATTTTTTGGTGACCTTATGAGGTGTTTATATTTTAATACATAAATTGTCCCATGACCTACTTACTGAATAAATATACTAGCTATCCTATCTAAACCAAAGTGCTTTCAACGGAAGGCCTCTTCACCCACAAACACAACTAACCAACCTATTTCTATACATCACTTATACTTACTATGAATATTTAATTTATAAATTGTATAAGAAAAAAAATTTTTTTTCGGCCATTATATTATGGCTTTTTATTTTTTTATATTTTTATTTTTAAATTCATAATGAAAGGTAATTTTTGATGTATTAGAATACCAGGACAAATAAGACCCATTTTAAGGCTACTTAAAATGTTGTAATTAAAGTCCCTATGGAAGTTCGTTATAACTGTTCTATTTCTTTATGTTATGTGACAAATTAATCATTTATAAAATTATAAGCTATTAAGTTTATTAATTATGATATTAACTAAAAAAATAATAACCATCCTAAACTAATATATTATATTTAATTTAACTTTAACAAATATTATATTATTAATAATTCGACAGTCTCCAGGTAAAAGAGGTAAAGAAAAATTTTCAGGAGAGTAATTCTAAACTTTATATACGTTTTAAAATATCATTACATTAAAGAAAAAAAAAGGTACACTCAAACCAATTTCAACAAAATACATGCAAAATATTCTATATTTTTAAAATATCAGTCTTTATTATTATTTCCTTAGATTAAAGTTAACTTATTCTTTTATAAACAAATTTTAACAGTGTTCAAAAAGGAATAGCTATACTTGTGTTAATTTTACTCAAATATTTTTATTCTCATCTCAAATTACTTTTAAATAGTTAAAACTTCATAGTGTTGATGAAAATGAGACAAACTGATTTACCTATTTTTATAAAATTAAAAAAAAGTTCATACTATAAAAAATTACCATTTTCACCAATAATCGACTTTTACCCAGAGACCATCAAATTACAGTATTAAAAAATAAATGATAATTTTTTTATATTTCAGTGTGATGTTCAAAACTATAATACGGTCATAATAACGCGACAAGACTTTATTTAAATGTAATCTATATAATAATAATGTTAAGAAAAAATAAGCATAGCAAATGATATTGACTAAATTTATTTTCACTGCACATCTCACACTTACCTCCTACCGAACAAAATTATAATCAATGAGCTCTTAAATTACTTAACCTGATGCTGTGGAAAATAACTGTTTACCCCTTTTTGGAAAAATATTTTTCTCAGATATTCTTTTTCACAATCGTTTTTACTTTCTGTACAACGACCATCATCATCAGAAGTATCAATTATGGCTTTTATTTTATGGATACTCAATATATATTTGCTCATTACCAAATTAAACAAATAAACTTCAAAATACAAAAAAAAAAACTAATAGGTTTAAATGGTTAAAATATATCTGGCTCGTAGTCTCAAATAATAGCTTCAAATGTATAAATCATTATTGTGTTTAAACTGCGATAACTATGGACATTTCCGAGATATAACTGAAAACGAGGTAAGTATAAAGTGTATTTATGATTACGACTGAAATGATGCAGCTCTCTCCCCGTCCGACATAAAACCCTGAAAAGATGGCTGATTTTGGAACAATAATGTTTATTATATTAAGATACTGACAGCCAGCGAGATTTGTTCTATTTAACAGAAATAGGAACGTACTTCGCTGATTTTAGCAAGCTAGACAGTATTCACGAGCACGTGAGAGGGACGTTTCAGAATCGAAAGCCCAAGGGATTTCATTAAACAATACACAGTAGATACGAATTTGTATTGTTATTGTAAATAAATAATTGATTAAACAACGTAGAACAAAATGTCCCGCGAGATATTTACTATACATATTATGAAGTAGTGAGATCAATGAAAATTCAATTACCCCTTCGCTTTATACCGGTAAGACCTCGTAGGACACATTTTAGTGGTTATATATATTATTCTATTATATTATATTATTATTGTATGAAGTAATCATTTATGACTATCATCGGATCATCCCATTTACTCATATAATAGAAGTTTGTTGACTACATTTTCCCCAACTAGCTATTTTAATTTTCTAAATTTTTTCACTTCATGCTTTAAGTCTATATTACCATATAAATAACCTGAGAGAAAGTGCTCTCACTCAAGTCACAAAAAAATTCACCATATTCTTTATAAAACCAATAAAATTAATTTTTATTAACAACATTTCAAATGTTTTAATTTCATTGATGTGCAAGTATTGTATTTTCTTAATAAAATTGAATGTATTTAATTAATTTTTATTTAATGTATTTATATTCTAACGCTAAAGATGTACATTGAATTTATTAACATTTTCTAAAAAATAACAATATGATACTGTGTAGTTGACTTTTATTTGTTCAGTTATTAAAATATTTACCATGGGTTATAGTATAAATTATATCTACATGCAGGTCATTTAAAATCACCATAGCAATATCGAATCTAATTTATTTTATAATATTACATAATAAATATATAAACTCAAATCAAGAGAAAAATTAATCCCTGCGATCTCTAGCCCCATAAATACACAATTGTGCAAACGGGCATAATCCATGTAACTGCATTAAAACAAGGCTCGATCGATATTTTTGAACTGTAGAGAACTAATAACTAACAATCTGTACTCCAAAGCGTATGTTCATTTTTTTTTTATATATATATACATATTAAAAATATAAATACAAATAACGTTTATAAATATGGAAATATTGAACGAAAATTCACGAGTATAACATTAACTCAAAATTTGTTTTATAATAATTCTGAAATTGTAAATATTATATATAAACTCATATCTACAACCGTATTTCATCAAATAGCTTTCATCAAATAATTACATTTTTCTTTCTTATTCTATTTGGTTTCGGCCTTTAGACCATGCCACTAAATACAATCTTGCCATAGGTCCCTGTTCTCTGCAGCTTCTCTCCATCTGATTCCTGGTTCTAACGTTTTTAAGTCCTTTTTTACACAGTCTTCCCATCTCAATCTGGGTCTTTCTAAAAGTCTTTTACCTATTGGTTCTTCCTCAATTACATTTTTAATAATAATAATAAAAAAAATAGTAAAACGCCTAATTATTTATTAAAAAACAGACAAGCCTAATGGAAAAAAATGACATAAGTAATAATTAAAACAATCAATTAATATACAGATATACCTATCTAGCGTAAATCTTGGTAAAGAATATTAAAAGTTAACATAGAAAATAAAATACAGCATAGAAATAAATTAAATTTTAAGATATTGACTAAATACATTGGAAAAAAAAAATGATTGATCCTTATAAAAGTAATTATAGTCAAAGAGATGGGAGTTTAAAAAGTGTATAACATTTGCTTGAGATTGGCTCTGAAATGGAAAATTCCATTTACAAAAACTCATAAGTATTGAGCTCTTCTGTATACTATAGTAATATGATTAAAGACTAAAACACTAAGACACAAGCGAGTAATCATGTACGAGGACGCTGCATTTATTAAAATCGATATGAATATTTTAAAATTATTAATTAAACTAAAATATAATGATGAAGTCTATATAGCGACTTGTAAATTGAATTAATCATTTAAATATTATTGCAATATTTTTTTTATACGTGAAAGAAATCATCTATAACTTTAATGGCACAATGCCTCACTAAGATGTAAAATACAATGATTACGGATTATTGAACTGAATAATTTCTAGAATAACATCCTCACTAACGTCAACGAGTTGCGCAAAAATTTGATACATTTAACGCCTCGTGTTCTAACCGATTATTCATAATATCATCATTCGTTAAATTATAATGCGTTTGTTATACTTGCTTAATGGTTGCTTATTAATAGTGTAACATCTATGTTGGGGATGGGCAACTAAGTAATTAAAGGTCCAATTTATAGAACTTTATAATCTAGTGGGCCAGAGCGAAGAGAGCAAAAATAAAAGAGGGTCATTGAAATTGACTTTTATCATTTATTTTTTACGGCTTAATTTTACAACTGAACCAACACAATATAACCAGTACCCGATACCTATAGCTAAGTTAACTATACCGATATGTATATATATATATATATATTTATTATACTTAGACATTTAATCAATTGGCTGCAGTTCAATACTAGAGAAAAATATATCTACATTTTATGATAAACGCGATGAAATGAAATAGGTACCGATAAATGCTAAAATTTTATGAAGTAATTTGAAAACGCATCACGGGCCAGATGAAAAAAAGTATGTGGGTCACCAGTTGCCCATCCCTGATCAATATTACGCCGTAAACTGCAGTGACGAACAGAAAACAGTACAAACTGGTCTGGAACTCTTACCATGTACATACTACTATTAATATCGTTTATCACATACCACATACCGCTTCCTCTACATTGAAATCCCACGAACCTTACCCGGAGTGAAATGAGAGGGTAGCTTCGATTCTCCTTTGAATCTCTCGTACAGCGCGTTGAGGAGACTCCCATCTATACCGGCCGTACAAAATCCCAAAAGCCTTGCGGCTACGTACAATTGAAGCGCATACATACTGTCGACTGTGTGAGCTCGAAAGTAGCGATCATGTGCTCGTATATAGGGTACCATTTCGTTGCATAGGTATGACCTGCCATCGAATTCCGTATCACACGCCGTCTTGAATGTGAAAAATACATTGTTTCGATGCAGGCGAAATTATCTGACAGTTTCTCCCCCATTTCCTTTGATTATTTAATTGTACTTTATTCCACTGATACGCGTGTAAAATCGACGACACGCGCTAATATAGCCATTATTCATTTATTTCGTTGACGTACCGCATACCTGCGCAATTGTGCGTGTGTATGTGTATGTGTGCCCTCGTGGAATTAATTAGACGGCTGTAGCGACGAAAATACTCGTGATGCGCTATAATATAACATTTTCCAAAGTTTCCGATAAAACATACAATAATTATCGCTTGTAGTGGTCAATGAAATGTTAACCTTTTTTATTGTTTTCCGATGATAACCACGCAATATGGTAAAAATTGTATAATTGTTTCTCCGTTCGACTACGCGCGTAGCATATAGTAGTTGTAGTCGATAAGAGTTGGCGCGTAATACGCGCACGACAACACAATAATGTTAATATATTATCATGTTGCAAAGACGTATACATATAATTTCACACTGCATAAATGCAGTGTTGGACGAATAATGTTACACAATGTACTCGTGTACTCGGTTCCAGAATTAATTATCGGAATTGATTGTTAATAGAATTAATTAAAATGTTTAACATAGTCGTTGTGGTATTGATGTGTTTACGCGGATTGTACAACAACGGATTAAATATTGTACTGCTGTTATCTTAAATGTATTAAAAGTTCACTAGGATTAATTTTACGCTGCAGTAGACTTCGATAAAAAAACTCCAAATTTTACTGTGTCAACAAAGAATACCAATATGATGCATCATATAGCTTATGACAACGTCAACACCACCGACATCATAGATAGTACGGGATATACGTTTTACTCAAGGGTTGTATATTTTGTTTGTACATATTAAATGGACTTGGATGCTTTAATGTTTACTTTTTACCAACATATTGCAACCATAATGCAGATTACAGTCTTTAAAATGTTTTCGGTGAAAAACTTGCAAGATTTTATAGAAACCGATCGGTTTCGACACCTTTTAAGTTTTTATTTTAAGTATATAACTTTATCTGTAATGTAATGTTGTTTCTATATTTTGATAACAAATATACATTTAAGATTCAATTCCATATCGTTTGCAATAGCGATTTGATTCTACAAAAAATTAATGTTTCGTTTTATAGCCTATAAAAACTATGCATCTCAACCAAAAATAAAGTTCTTCACGAATCAATTTTGTTACAAAATTGGTAATTTATCGAATAATGTTAATTTGCACAAAACCATTTTCTGAAAAATTTCATACTTTCACAACAACCAAAGGCAATTAAACTACTTTAACTATTAATTACCTAATTAAATTAGGCACATGGGAAATCGATACATGAAGTATCTAAACAACGAAACCGTGAAGTATTTTATGAAATATATATCAGTAGTATATTAGTATCATTCCCAACACAGTTATAATAAATTTCACTTAAAACTAATTTTGTGATTGATTATTATATTACATAGTTTAATTTTTTAAACATTTTTCATATAACTTAGTTTTTTAAAATATTAAAATTATTTTATGCTAAATTTCACTTGAAACTAATATAGTGATTGTTTTCTCTAGTTCTGAAAACAGTTTTAAATAATATAAATAAAAACATTTGCATTTTAAAAATAATAAAATAAATAAAATATTTTTTCAATTTAATTTTTTTTTTTTCATTATTTATTTATAATTATTTTTAAGTTATCATTTTTAATTAAATCATTAATATGGTTATTACAATTATTTCTACTTATATATATTTAATAATGTCCCCAAGCTAAAGTATTAATTCCATTTGCTAATATAAATCTTTTATCATCATGAGTTCTTATAATGATATAATATAATAATTATAAAATATTATAACTTATGCATTTTGCTATATAATATATAATATCTTTTTGTGTCAATGGAATTCCTTCAATGGAAGACTTCTCCGCATACATAAATCTACCTAAGTACTGCAATTTTTTTTTTATTTATGTCAATCTTTGCAAATTATTTGCTAGTCAAATACATTCGGAGAATTTTTAAAAAAGTGGCGGTCAACAACTCAGAGGAAAGATATATAGATTAGTCCTGTTGATATGGCAAAAAGAACAAATTCCAAAAGAGTGGAAAACGGCAATCATTTGCCCGATATTTAAAAAAAATGACCCAAAACAAGTAGTTAATTATAGAGGAATATCATTACTGGATGTAGGATACAAAGTTCTGTCGTCTCTCTTACTAGGAAGATTACAAAAATATGCAGAAGAAATTATTGGCAACTACCAATGTGGTTTTAGGAAGGGAAAATCAACCACAGATCATATTTTTGCTATAAGACAGATCCTAGAAAAACATCATGAGTATAACAAAGATATTCATATATCGCACGAGGAAATCAAGCTACGCCTACAGTCTGCTAACAAAGCATACTTTGCTATGTTGCCATTGTTTAAATCTAGGTTACTACCTAGAAAAACCAAAGAGAAACTGTACACAACATATCTAAGACCAATTGCTACTTATGGTTGTAATACATGGGCCACAACTGGAGGGGACTACAAAAAGCTACTCGTCTTTGAGAGAAAAATTTTGAGAACAATTTATGGACCTATTTTCGAGGACAAGGAGCAAAAATGGCTAAGGAGGTCAAATGAGAATCTGAAGAATCTATATTCAAAGGAGGACATAGTGCAGTTCGTAAGAAGTTCAAGACTTGCTTGGACTGGGCATGCGTGGAGAGCTGATGGGTCCCTCATAAAGATGGTTATGGTGGATCAAATAGATCTGAAAAGACCAAGGGGACGCCCAAGGCAAAGATGGCTAGATGCAGTTAGAAGAGATATAGAGGAGTTAAAACCGGATTGGAATGGAAACTTAGATCTAGCCTACGCAAGAGATGTTTGGGGAAAACTGGTGTTAGAAGCAAAGAGCCTAAATGACTCGTAAAAGCTAAAAAAAAAAATTTGCAAGTCAATTTTTAGTATTTGCAAGTTAAAACATTCACCGTGAAGCCAAAATATTTAAAGTTAGGTCAACTTCACATAGACCACCTGTTTGATCAAGAACTTTGAAATCGATTTACAATCAAATGAAAGCTAATGATTAACATAATTTGCAAGTAACCTAGGTAGTCACAATAAACTTTTGAATTTGTAAAGTTGGTCTATCTAATAAATAAAATAACTAGTATAATTATTTGTTATTCTAATATATACATTGATATATGGTGATGTATAATGTTATTTTCTGATGTCACTTAGTAAATTGTAAATATTTTCTAAAATCATTATCTTTTGTTTGATGCCCACTTCGAAGTTTCAGGTCAAAACATTACGTCGACTGCACAACTTCAAAAGTTAGTGGTCACCTAAATAATTTATAAATTTTTAGAAGGGACTTTCGAATACTTTAAAATTAAAAGCTATCGTTTGCATCATTTACAAAGTTGTAGGACAACTTGAGTGGGCTGATTTCGTAACTTTAAAAGCTCTTACTGGCCACACGGTTCACTTGTGAATTTTAAAAATGGACTTGTAAATACTTGCTATTATCTTTTGTGTGATACCTTTATGGAAGTTCTGTAACAAATTGGGTGAACTAACTTCATAAGCTAAAAAGTTTAAAATGACCACCTAAATTATTTGCAAATTTTCAATAATCATTAGCTTTTGTTTGATTTTAAACTTATTTCAAAGTGTGAAGTTGGCCCAACATTAAATTTTTTGGTTTCACGGTGAAATATTGAACTTGCAAATTCTAAAAATTGACTTGTAATTACTTGCAAATAACTTGTAAAATAACGACATAGATTTAAAAAAAAATTATAGTACTTAGGTAAACTAACTTCATGAACATCTAATTAATGGTGGGTTATGTATATGGAGAAGTCTTCCTTTGACGGAACTCCATTGACATAAAAAGATAAAAATGGCAAAATTTATAAGTTATAATATAATATATTTACTATATTATATTACTATAATTTATATATTTATAAGTTATAAATTATAATTATAAAAATATCATATTAAGAGATTTCTGTAACAGTTTCTTTTTAGACGGTGGGGTGGGTATTTTGAGAGAGTAAGGAGCTAGATTTACTTCTACAATAAGAAGATGAAGATCTTCTTGGAAATGCTTACGGAACCTTTTACAGTGGTGTTTGGCTGTATCGTTTAGTGTATGGAGAACTGTGTCAATACGGAATATGTTGGATACATATAAAGGTTAAATGTGTTCAATTCCATATGACCATATTGGTTTAAGTAACATGTTATATATGTGAAATTTGGTTATCATGTTCATTTTTTTAAGATTTATTTAGTAAGGGGCAAAGGAGTGTTAAGCTGTATTTCAATATTATTCTTCTTCCGTATAAATGGAGTACCCATGTGAAAGTTGTATCCATAATTAAGCCAAAAAATGTTACTATGGTTTTAGTTGGAACTGTCAGTTTGTTAATTTGTTAATAAAAACTAGAAGTGGTATTTTTCCATAGTGTAAAAGTTACAAGTGTAGATTTATTCTCATTGATTTTTACACGCCATGTCTTATACTATTTTAACATTTAATATGAAAGTTAATTTTAATAATCCCCGAAATGTTTCTATTTTTATTTAGTCGTAAAAGGGGGAATGTTTCAGAAAGGAAGGATCTTATGCAGCCTGTCACTTTTTCAAATGAGAAATGTTTAAGATGAGCCATAGTGAATACAAGAAGTTTTTTAACATTTTAAAATAGCGTTATCCAAATTTCAAACATGCATTTAGTAATTAAGGCTCGACAAATATTTTATGAATAAATACAACTCTTTTTTATTATTATTATTATAGCATTATTTTTATTTATTTTTATTTATGGTATGTATATTATTAATTACTACCGGTCTATTTAAATATGTATAAAATATATAACTGACTAACCAATATTAATATCGAACATAGTTATACAAATAGTTACTGGATAATTATAATGTTTAAAAAACTAATCATATACCTACACTAGCAATCAGATATCCTACCGTCCTAAACTCATAAGTAGAAGCACAAATAATTATCCACATAGTTAATCGTCGCTTTATTTACTTTGTTTTACAAGTATCGTGAAAATACTAATGCATCTATTAACTGAGACAACAGTTACAACTGATACCGATAAAAAAAAAAACCCCATTTACTGTCTATATTCAGTAATCGCTGTATTTAATTTCAAAATTACGATTAATAAGAACTGCAGCAGTTAAGTTATGTAATCCAAGTTCGTTTTAATTGATTTTTATTTAATCTAGATGTGTTAAACAAAATCTTAAGTATTATTGACACAAATGACACAAAATATACATCCCACATGCCAATTTATTACGCTTATACGTAGTCCATAGAATTATAAATAGATTGAAAATTCAGTAACAATAGTAAAAAAAAAATATATTTTATCTATAAACAATTTAAAATGTCTATTAAGTATAACGGAAACTATTGTGTGACTCAGCCAATAGAGAAATAGTATGGAATGCACTTATAACCTTTGTGATACCATCTAAAATAGTGAAAATGATCAAACTATGTATGGATAAAACGAAATGTCCAACATATGTCACATGAATTTGAAGTTAAGACTGGAAGAATGATGAATAACAGGAAGATGCATTATCCTCAATACTCTTTAAAATAGTAAATACTAAAAACAGTAGTCGAGAAAACTAAGAGAAAGTATGATGGATTAAACTTGGAAGACAACAAAAAGGCAATGCGGAATACTAGCGTATGCAGATGATATTATCACATTAGAATCAAATAGGCAAGAAGTAAAAATGGGTATCAAGAAGCTCTTAAAAAAATAGTAAAGACATCGAATTGCAAATCAACGAATCAAAGACTAAATATATGGTAATATCAAAAAGAGAAAATTATGGGAAACATTAAGAAGTTGTGAATTTTAAATTTGAAAGATTACATATTTTTAAATACCTGGGTGCTACAATAAATAGAAAAATTAATTATCACAAAGAAATTAAAATAAGAACTACTGTAACGAATAAATACTATTATGGGTTAACGAGCATAGTTAAATCAAAACAAATATCGATCAAATTAAAAATTACATTTTACAAGATAGTATTTCGATTAGTTATTTTGTAAGCATGTGAAACATGGCCAACAATCAAAGGAGATGAAGATAAGATAGCAATTTTTGAAAGAAGAATATTAAGAAGATTATATGGACCAAAAAGATAAAATATTACAATACAATATGAAATAAGAAGCAATATAGAATTACAACAGATGTATAAATAACTGGACATAGTAACAATATTACATTTTAGAAAAATCGCATAGACTGACCATGTATGGAAGTCAAGTAGTCTAATAAAAGCGGTATTAAAATGGAAACCCCTCGGGAAAAAAACAACTAGACATACCAAAACAAAAATTAATAGATAAAGTAAAAAAAGATTTTAAAATAAATTGGAATACAAAATGGAGAAACAGTAACACAGGATAATGACAGGTAGAAGCTGATTTGTGTTGCGTTAATGGGCTTTAATGGCCTTTAGGCTTTTAAAAACCGAATAAGAAGAATAGGACATATATTGCTTGAAAATGGCACGTAAAATTACAAAAGAAGTAATATATTTAGAAAGTACCATGATTTTTTAACAATTACCTTTATTATTTCTCAAAGACCTTCGTATTTTATAAATAATTTTCTCTCACAAACATTTTATGCAGTATAAACCGAAACATGTCCATCGGTCTATTCAGTTAGTGATTGAAAACTAATACCGTTTTTTACTGTTTGTTTTGGCGATAACATAAAAACCAATACTGTAAGTGTAGATTCGTGCAAAGAGTACCTATTTACCATATATATTATATTTATAAAGATAACCACATTATACATTTTTATATTTACTGTAACTATATTCTTATAACTTCAATTTATTACAGCTTTATAAATAATGATAACGACACTTTCATTGATTGAGTTTCCTTCGGCGTACAAAATTTAAAAAATCGGTCGGTGTCACGTAAACTTTATTCGTTTCTCACGGTGTAATATACTTTTTCAAAATCTACTTACTGGTATATCTACTTAACTTAAATTTATTTACCTAAAAAATTTTTTACAGTCAAACTTATTAAAGAAGCCAAATTGGAAGACTGTTTAAGTTCGTTAAAACATCCCCTGACACATCCACCCCCAGCTTAAATAATGCAACTGCTTATAATATATTTATGAAGTGTTTGATAAATTATTTTTTTAACAATAATGGAATAGCATTGCTCGTTATACTGAATAAAATGGACAAAATTACTTTTTCATTACAAATTAAATTGATATGAAGTAATGGATTAATTAAATGGGTAACGCGCCTACCACAAATATGTTTCTACTATTTTGATTATTTAATTTCATTGACGTTTGTAAATCTGAATGATACCAATTAAATTTGTAAGTCAACACTTACTCGATTATCCCAAAAAGTTTACCAGCCGGAACATTTAAATTTTAAAATTTTTTTAAATATTTAGTTGGTAATTAGTAAGTATTTCTAAGTCACCAACCGAAACTTTTATGCGTGTACTTTTTAAGTTGTATCCAACCAAATTTTTACCAGCCAGACAATTTTCAAATTTTAAAGATTTTATTTTGCCAATATTTAATTGTTAATTAGTAAGTATTTGTAAGTTACCAACCGAAACTTTTAAGCTTGTACTTTTAAAGTATTTTCTTTCTGGATATAGTGGTTGTAAATTATAGTTTGTGCCGGAGTCCAATAAAAAATGAAACATGAAATGGATCAAGTCCGATTTTATGAATACTTGTATTATATTCTTCCTGATACTTTAAACATTGTAACGGCTCTAAAACATTTTTTCCAGAAGATATATTTTTGAATTGTGTCTTCTCTTTATACTCTTGACGACTCTTGCGTAAGACGTCTAGGGAATAAAGTGTTCGAATGTTTTGATTTTGAGTAATAAAAGGCCGGTTCACGATTTCGCGCCGCACTGTCGCACTGATAATCAACAATTATTATTACCTCACCACCATGTATTTTTTTAACAAAAACTACTGTTTCTAATTCCAACGCTACGTGTCGACAATTATCACGATTTTCATTCTGAAAAATATACGAATTCTCCGTAATATGTACAAGGGAACGATCGAGCCACATTTTTAATTTTTGTAATTTGAATTGCAATAAATATTGTTGAAAATTCAAAAAAATACAGAATTTCAAACTTAAATATTTAATTAACTAAATACAATTTTTAAAATGTGCCTCGATCGGTCCCTCGTACATGTTGTGCAATAAAAGAATATTGTTTCCGAATGTAAATCAAGATAATCGTTGCGACATATTGTTTGAATTAAAATCGTATGTTAGAGTGAAAAATAAACATTTTTTCGCGATCTCAATAAAACATTCTGACATGTGCGTGCGAGAGCCCTCCGAACCGCTATCGCGCCGCTTCAAGATAATGAACATATACAGTGTAATATAATTAGATACGCTATTTCGTGGTATCCTATAATAATGTTAGTAAATAGTTATATTTCCGTGCCCTGATAATATTATATACCTGGGCGATTGTTAAGTCCACCAGAATAAAGAGGTAATAAACAGTCGTGTTCACGCAGTCGTAGCGTATGTTCCTGTCACTGTGCGTTTCACTGATAAGTAAATTCGGTCTTTAATTTTAATTAAAGACTATAATTTTAATCAGTGTTCTCAAATGTTGTCGTCCTCGGGCGGCAATAGCCGCACCGATTAAACCCCAGCCACATCCAAAATCAAGAGCACAGTTACTAAAAATCCTGCCTCAACTCATGGATACAGTACCATGGGGAAAAACGGTAAAGTACTTAAAAATACCAATAATCCAATTTCACCTAGTTTTCAACTAATTAACGAAAACCCGCCGATACATCTCACTCTACATTTAAATTCAATGACGTAACCGATAACATTCCCATGCCCGATTCAAATATTATACCCGATGATAATCAACCTAATGAACACACACACCCATCGTCAGCTTATCTACAGATAAAACGCTGTCGTTTCCATTTACCAATACTGATATCGATATGTCTACAAACAATTACAATAATAATACTCTACTTCATTTTTTTTATACCAGATTATAATGGCCCCATAATTATACTCGCCTTGTGCATCGATCAAGATAAAAACATGGATAATTGGCATCCTATAAGCGCTGCAAAATTTTTCACCAAAAATTTTATTGGTATCTCCAATATCAAATCAGCCGGTTCCAAAAAGATAAAAATTACTTTTAATTCCATCATCAACGGCAATAATTGCTTAAAAATTCTGATATTCCGCGCTCTAACAGTTTTCACGTAAATATTCCCAGCAGCTTTATATACTCGTATGGAATTATTAAATTAGATAATAATATCTCCGAAGAATTTTTCGAGGGTCAACGTTCACCTGTTACAATAAATGCATTTAAACGCATCTCTATTCAGAAAGATGGTAAAACTCTAATGACTCGCACAGTAGAACTGAAATTTATAGCACCTAAAATACTATCCGTCATTTCTATATATAAAATGATATTCAAAGTTATGTCCAGCATCTGTTCCCCTGTCCAATGCAACCGTTGTTTAAGATTTTGAACACACCCAAAAATACTGCCTTAGCGAAGCTAGACTTATCACTGCGGTAAAACCAAAGACTCAATAGACTCGTACAATCCACCGACCCCATCTGTCTGTGCTGCAGACTTCCTCACCTAGCCACGGACCGTTCTTGCCGGGAGTGGTCACTTCAAAAGGATATAATAAAAAATCATGGCAACAGAAAATATATTCTACAAAGACGCGTTGGTGTTTAAGAAAAATAAATGCTATACACCAGCCTTTAAATACTCTGATATTGTAGACAGCCAGCCTCATATCTCTGAAAATATCGAAATCGACACTTCTCTTCACAATGATCACTTTCCTAGTTTAAACAATTCCCACCATTTCTTCAATAATAAAAAAATATATATAACTATAATCTATCTCAGGTGTACAATAAAAAAAAAATATCTTACCGTTTGATTCTTCTTATACTGTTCTAAATTTTCTTCACTGGCGGAGTTTACTTGAACTCAATTTTACCTGATTTTTTTCATTGGTGGAGTTTACATGTGCCCAATATTATATACCTATTATCCGAAGTTTATAGATTATAATCGATAAACCTTGCATATTACCTACATTGGATGTTATTATATTTTATTATCGTTCTGTTTTTTCAAATTTGAATTTATTATTCAGTCACTATTCAGCTTTGTTTCTCTAAGACTATTTAGTTATTGTAATTAGAAAAATGAATTCCAAATATAAAATGAAAACTAAAATTCCTTTATCGAAAAGAAAAAACGCAAAGGTTTCATATAAGGAATATGAGACCATCATATCCACATTCATAAATACTCGTACTTAATGTTATTATAATTTGTTATTATATTATCAAAAATTATTATCGTAAATTAACTTTCACATATTTTAATTAAATTTTCAATAAATAAATAAAATAAATAATGATATAATACCATATATGTTATATATTAATTTTTATTTGTAGTCTTAAAAATATGTAATTTTATGTATGAGATACCTAAGAAGTGTAGTAGATTGGTAATTTTTGAATTGCCGGCAAATTACGTTTATAAATGTTATTATTTCCAACATGATCATTTTTAAAATCACCAAACATATTTTCTTATCACAAATTATAAATTGATTACATCGACAATAATTAATGTCCTTAACTATTATTGTTCCTAAGACGTGAAGGTGCAGAAAAATAATTTTTTATAGGTTTATAACAGAACTAACATTTCGGATTGCACAGTGTGTCGTAACTCGCAGAATATACATAGAAAAAAAAATAGCTGCTGTCAAGCAGCTGTTACATAACGTGATATATGAGATATTTTCCATGGTAATTTTGATCGACATTTATCGACACATGTAATTATTTTTTTTTTTTTTGTTAAGCAATTTACACGGATACGAATTATTATTGTGATACCTATATTACTAGTAATAGTAATATAACTTAGTACCTAATATGTATTCAACGGAGTTATCTATTAATCGATTATTGAAAAATATTTCCTTTTTTTTTTTTTTGTACAATACATATTAATTGTTAGAATGATCGGTAATGGGGCCACATTTTACTTACCGGCTTCGTATACGATATTTGTTTATAATATTTCCCGGGAATTGGATCACTAACAAAATAATATTTTGTTGGTGATCCAATTCCCATTATTATTATTATTATTATTCCCATTATTACATATTATGTATATTTTTAAATAGTACCGGTAGGGTCCCCCATCTTGTATAAAATACAAACACAAACATTTACGAAGATGTAACATTTATTTATTACAGTTTAATAATTAAAATTTTCTTTTTTCTCAGTAAATATAAAATATAATATTAATTACATAAAATTTGTTGAAAAAATGATTAAGTTTATTTGACAATTATACAATCAAATACCAGGTAAGTACATAAAATAAGTCAAGTGGCTACTATTATAATTTTTTTTCCTTGATAAATATATAATATAATCATTATTGAGAATATGTATATATGTATGAATTTAATTAAAACGTAGTGGCCTAATTTCCGGTAGTCCATTGTTATACGATGATAAGTATAAGTGTATAAGTATACAGGTAAAGTACATCGAGTAAAGTTTGTTACTCTTTTACAGCTAACTAAATTGCAGGATGTAATTATTATGAGATTGAATACAATTATTGTTGTATAGGTATAGTAGAAATTAAAAGTTAAATATTATTTTTATATTATATTTATATTAATATATATATGTGTGTGTGTGTGTGTGTAGTATGTTAAGTTAAATACAATATACAGTTTAGATTTATAAGATATATACATACACACAAATATATGTATATGTATTTATACAAATATTGCCGGTTCGATGTTTGAAGAACATGTCTCCTAATGTATTCTTATTTCTTATAAATAAATATACACGTGATGAGATAAGAGATAATAATATTACAGAATTATACATTTTAAAAATATCATATATATATATAATTTGTTTCTATAATAGTTTCCCAATGAATTTGATCATTAACATAGGCGTATTTACGTGTTTTGCTGAAAATGCAACACATGAAACTTTATTTTATATTATTATTTATAAAGGTATGTACGAGGCGTCACAAAAATAATGTCCCCATATTCCTAGCGCTGAAAATAAAAACTTTTTTCAAAAGTTTATAACATTTGCGTATCACGAAGCTCCTTCCCTTTCAAACGAAAGTTGACGGTTCAACTTAATCCGAATTTTAATTTGTGTCTGACACGCGTTTACGATGGACGCTTTTACGTCAGCCGCCGCCATCTCTTTTCCCGTGTATACTGAATACGAACTCCTCGCTGTTATTCGTTTTTTAAATTCAAAGGCTGAATCTCCAATATGCATACATAGGAAACTGTATGTCTGCAAAATATATGAGAAAGTGGTGTAGGGAATTTTCAGGAAGTCAGGAGTCAGGGTTTTTCTCTTGCATGATAACTCACTTTGTCCACGATTCAAAAGCTTTCTTTGATCCATTTGATTGAGACGTGATTTCTCATCCACTTTATAGTTCAAACTTTGCTCCGTCTGGTTATCACCAATTCTTGATCTTAAAGAAATATTTGGTAAGAAAAAATTTTGAGACAGCAGATAAAAAGTTGAAAACAAAAGTTACGCAATACTTGCAAAAAGAGATGGTGGTGAGTTTCAATGAGGCTGGCATATAAAAACTTCTACTGAAACTTCTTATGAAAAATATATCCATGTAGGAGTATAATGCGATAATGTGGAAAAACAATTCATGTGTAATCATGTAAAACATTCTTTAAATATAAATATATTTTATCATAATTATTTTGGAGACCTTACTTTTGGGAGATGTACATCAATTTGTAGGTACCTTGGCTTAAAATATAAAACAATTGAAATTTTATTTTATTTCATGATATTTGTTAAATAATAACGATGTTTTCAATTGATGATAAAAAATTAACCAAATTGACATTGACACGTGGCGTATATAGTTATAATCACATTTATAATCAACGCTAGTACTCATTAATAAAATGTATTTATTATTTTTTTTTTTTTATTAAATTCTAAGCAAGAAATATGTTTGATTGCCCATGTTCAAAGAAAAAATTGCCCTCTTGCCCCCAGTTTACGTCTGTCTTGATGTGAAACATCTATGACGCGGTATAGGAGTGAGGCCGACTATTGCAGTACCTATATAAGGTTTAGATTTTATTAAATTGAAAATTACTGAATTACTATAAATATCAATGAAATAAATATAGCAGATTCTAACGTATGCGTTTCTGGCGCGCGATTTTTAATTTTTTAATTTTGGTATCGAATTGTAAAAAATCTAAATATTTTGTTGTTATTTACGCCGTATTTATTTCCTTTAATAAATCATCCTTTCCGGCATATTTTCCATACAAAAAACTTTCGAGCGTTCCGCGACGGCTCACGTTTTTTTTTCCTTATCCGTTCAAGTTGATTCTAGGCCAAAATAGCGAAATAATTAACCGCGAATATGAAAATCGCGAATTGATATAGCAAAAAAAAAAAAAAATAATATAATAAATATTCTTTAGGAGAAAGCCACCCTACTTTAATTTATTAATGTAATAGAGAAAACTCGATATTTAGAAGAATTAAAATGAGAACAGTATTATTCTAAAGAACAACCAAAGATAAAAAAAAGTTCAAGGACTGTGCTGAAAGACTTCGTTTGTTAATTACAAATTATAATACTAATGATAATAAAAACTTTGTAAATGGTATAGCATATAATTTTTCACTAATGCCTAATTGTTTTTTCATAATTATTATCACTAGATCGTATATTTTCGCTCATTTTAAAATTCGTTGTTTTTATTTTCGCCATTATCAATTCGCGACTTTTACATTCGTGGTTTCGCTTTTTTGGCCACGTACCTATCAAGTTTTCTCTTCTCCCGTCGATCCACGGTAAGCATGCCATGTTGATGAATTTTCCCCGTCCGGCAAGGACAACGGGATACGTTTCGCGCGGGATACGTGTTGCGGCGAAAAGCACATGTGAGAGCAATATGGCACTGGTACGACTCGCGCTGCGGCGGCGGCGGCGGTACGGAGATTGATCACGGACGCAGTGGTCGGCTAGCGAAGCGAAGCGACGATCAGCGTCAGCGACAGTGCCCGGCGGGCCCGGTAGATAGCTCTGCGCCGGCCGGACGGTTGGTCGACGTGCACCGTGGACCGGGCTAGCGGCTGTCACGCGAGCTGGACGTGACGCGCGGTCGGACGGCCAATAATCCGTTCTTCCGGATCCGTCAGAGTGGCCGGCGGTCGGGCGGACCACCGACGACCGGTACGAGTGGATCACGGGACAAACGGTTCGGCGATAAGCGCGCGAGACCGGTTCAGCATATAGTAGAGCCCGCGGGACGATGTTCTCTTCAAAAAGGATGTCCACCGCTTGCATGGTGTTTGGGTCACTGGTTCTCGGGGTATGGCCATTAATACATATTCGACACATAATTTTAGAAACCGCGGGCTGTTGGTCACCAATACGTGCCGGCGTCTGCTCCGATCGATCTTCGTTGCAATCGTTGTAGTGTACTACCATCCCTTCCAAACGAGTCCTGATCTTGGTACACTCTAACAACACCGCTTCCGTAATAACATTTTTTTCTACCGTCGTCCTCAAGTTATAAAATGCGAAAGGGTCGATGATATTTGCGCGCACTACCGTTCGCGGGGGGAAATAACGGTGGTCACTACTCTCGTAACCGATTGTCGTCGTCCATTCGGCGATAGAGAACGATTTTCCCTAGCGGCACACACTCGTTTCCGTTAAAAGTATTGACGCGAAATGTTTTATGATATTAAGTGTTTCGTATACGTCCTCAACGCGTGTTCCACAAATCAACGGTCGCTCATTATGATAATACAATACCGGTATGAACACGTACACGGCGAAACATTCGTACTGAGAACTTTTGTTTTCAACAATCGCTCGAACCGAGGAAAATAATAAGTTCGTAATCATTTAACGGATATTTTTGTTCAAGTTGTGTCATACAACTCGCACGGATCGATTGTTGTTTAAAAACGCAGTTATAACGTTTCCGTTGTTTCACTGTAAAAAGTATTGCCTATGTAAGTTTCCTAAAGGGATTTTCCATCAGTATGCATACGTGCACATCGTATTATATAGTTATTGTATTAATTCAATAACTTTTTTCTCACTGATACGTCAAGTGAACTTGTAATTTTCTATTAGATACGAGCGCGTTGAGAAAAAAAAACGTACCAAATTCACTAAAGAAATCAGAAGTACAAACGCGATTGCTGACCAGTGTGGATCAAATGCCATTCGTTCCACGATATTTATGCGACGTTTGACGAGCTCTAGAACGTGTTTCGCGCACGATTCTCCCTTTCCCTTTACGTGTGTTACGACCGAAGTAGCAGATTTGTCAACCCCGATCATACGATTTAGCGCCGGAGGAAATGGCTCGAGTTCCTGCTGCGGTGCGCGTTGGGTTAGGTTAGAGTTATTTATGGTATCAACGTGAGTGCGCACCGGACCGTCGTTTTATGCGATGACGTTACGGTCATCGAGAGGATGTTTCCCGACTGGGAAAATTAATTTTTTAGATTTTTCATTTCGATAAAAGTACATATTATGTATACTTTTATTGTACTTTTTTTAAGACAATGCCAATCGATATCAAAAATCAAACCAATGGTTTCATAGTTAAAGTTCATGTTTATAAAAGAAGGTAAGCGTATATAAAATTAATTTCTCATAATAAACTAGTATAAATTAGATACGTAATAGATTCAACATTTTATTATACACTATCTTATACTAAGCCATTTATAATATAAAGAGGTCGTGAAATATAAAATTAGAAAATATATGGCTAAAAAATATATTAAAGTCCGTGTATATGCGTATATTTAATATCCGTGCATTTATATTTATTTATTATTTAATCTATAAACATTGCATATTAATTCAGAATTAATTTATACTTAAAATATTTATATTTATAATTATATAACTTGTTATTAATTAATAATATAAATTGCATACCTACATACCTACCTTTTATTATTTACCTAATAATGTTATGAATAGTTATTGGTTTTGCTTAAAAATTAATAAGATGCATCCATTTATTGAATAATTTTATGAAGGTATAAACTATAAGTATAACTATATATTAAACTGATTTTAAAACTAAAGCATAAACAATCACAAAGCTATCTTATCGTCAGTGTTATTGCTTTGTGTTTACGTATGCCTTGTATCTAAACATTTTTGAAGATTTTAAAATTGTTCCATAACTTATTCTTGTTTTCGAATATATGAGTGTTCAGACTCACAGGTATTAAAATATATGGGTATTTACATTACATGGGCCTTAACCCTGTCTTAGATAGAAACACGGGTACCCGAGTAGTTCAATACACGTGTGATTGTGACCTCTAATTTCTATGGTTGAACTATATTTTTCCGTATTATACTGCATTATTGCATTAATGTCTTTTGCTATTGATTTAACTATTTGCCATTAGAATCCACGCTTTTTTCAATCAAATATCAATAAGTCACGTGAAGGCTTAATACAAATATTTTAGCAACGAATTCGACCGTCGACTTTGACCGTTGTTTATCACTTAATATTGAGCATGGATCAACAGCACGATAGTGATACTGTTTTTAGACCGGTAATAGTTATTTGTAATTTTTTTTAATTTACTATTTTTCAGGAACGTATTTTCATGTGTTTCAACTTGCTTTCAAGTGGGATGAACGATCACTGACTTCCTTAATCTTCCATACGAAAATTCATGATTTTCGTTAATAGTATGGTAATAATAATAATAATAATAATATTAATGACGTCGTGCCGATTTCAGTTACGCTCTACAGCAGGAAAATTACACGATTCGTATATTGTATTAGATAACATAGTAATATACTACTAAAAGGGGTTAAGGCCTGCAGTCATGGATGAATACTGTACGATTAATTGTGCAGGTGTATATTTATTGTACTTATAACCTCATGTAGCGCAGCATGTAATAATAACAGCATTATATTACAATATATATATATATATATGCTTACCGTCTTGCGGTGATTCGTCTACTGTGCAAAAACGTAAGATTTACTACACCATGCGATTGAATTTGAAATAAAAAACGACGTGGTATAATCGAATATCCTGGTCGCTATAACCCATTACTCGCATCCGATTCGTCGACAGTAAGACACGTGATTATCACGAGTTGTACAAGAGCTAACACGTGGAGGTAGCCCGAATAGGGATTTAGAAATTCTAAATGTTCCGATATTGTTGTTGTTACACACGGTATTATAAGTCATAAATGCTACGAAAAATTTTGGTGATATAATACTATCCTTTTCGCCGTATATTTAATAAAATATTGTATTAGATTTAGATTTTCCATCATTTATACTAAACATTTATTGACTAGTATATTTTGCAATTGAATAAATGATTGCGTGCTGGGTGATTACAAATAATAACAAAAACGCCGGGATTCCGGAAATTATGCCCATAAGTCATACACAATTTGAAAAAGAAAAGTATAAGAAAATATTAAGAATATAATTTTTATTAAAAATTTACTATAATGGCTCAATGAAAAACGTGAAACTATGAAAACGTGTTTGTTTACAAATACTAATGAAAAAGTCGAGTTATAGATATTTTGAATTCATTATACCAGTGACTCTCTTTGAAAACGCACGATTTTTATACAAGCAGTATTCTTCATTGCATTGTTTAAACGTTTAAGCTTATATTTACGTTCATATACATCGAGTCAACGTTCCATTTGTATACGTAAGCAAATAGAAAGGAACGTCGGAAAATATCGAAAGGGATTCAAAAAGCTTCAAATTATCCAAGACGATCATGGACAGTGTCAGACCGAAGCATGAACGAGGCACCTTAAGAGGCACAGGCCCGTCTTTCCGCTTTTCTAATCGACGATTTGATGGAGACCAGCATTTAGGAACGTCGGAAAACCAATATTTGAGCGGACGGTAAATATAGACTATTGTATAACTAATATACAACTACGTATATTCGATTGAACGTGAAATGATTGATGTGCCATAATAATGTTGACGATCACTGTCGTTTAGAAACAATGAGATATGGTCAAGGCGACCGATTACCAGAAAGTCCCAGTCTGGTAGTGGCGATTCTACCGGACCACTATGTCGTCCGCAGTCTTGGCGGTGTGCGATGCCGAACAAAGTGCTAATCGTGTATGGGTTGGAAAGAATGGCCGTTAACTGTGATAAGATCTTCAACCTGTTTTGCATTTACGGCAACGTTATGGCTGTGAAAATTTTGAAAGGAAAGCAAGTACTCGTCGAGCTACAAGACGTCGAGGCTGCTAAACGATGTGTGGCTAACTTGAACTTGGTTCGGTTGGACGAAACAACTGAGCTAAAAGTCAAGTGAGTGACGCAACTGCCTACTGAAATATCTTGATGTCGGGTTAATGGTGAATGGTAGGGTAGGTTGCTTTTGATTCAAAAAAAGATTTTGGATGACGACAATCAGTCGAGAGGGTGCATTTTACGTCAGTATGTGGCGAGGACAATAAGCGTCTCGAATCATCCCAAACAAAGAACGGTGTAAAATATGCTTTTAAACAATGAAATTTAAATTCTGCTCTGTACAATTTATGGGTGTATATCGACTCCGCCGAAAAAGTCTTTTTACCTGTAAGAAACCTATCGATTGCGCCGAATATTTTTATATATCGATTCCGCTGAAAATATATACATGTAACATCACTATATATACATTACATTATATATATACCATATCTAGCACGACGGTATAGTGACAGGAAGGTAAGTAAAAAAAAAAAAACGTACATTTTATAGAATAAATAAATAATAATAATATATATAATAATCAGCAATAATTGTAGTCGGATTTAAATACAAATTTTGAGCTGAGCATGTTTTTATAATACATCTAAATGCGGTAGCGTATGTATTTGTGCTTTTGTGTGACAATAAGAAATATAACAATGGAACATAATGTCCATTTTTAAAAAGTATGAACCGTAAACAGTCAATAGAAATATTTTGGGCAACTGTAAAACAAATCATCTACAAATATTTTATCACTAGAGCATAGCAATTTTAAATTAAAATTTGTAGATTAGAATAAAATATTATTTACTGTGTCAGTATTTAGTAGAAAATCTGCTGAAAACAATATTATGTATTTATAAAATCCGAAAATGTTTTAATATGATAATATATGTTATATTCTTACGTATATAAATCTTCGGCGGAATCGATAAACTCCCCAATTTATAATACTATAAAATATAGCATTACGTCCACCGCTGATATTTTAGGTATTCAAAGCATTCGTTCATCAACAATCACAGAACGTCAAGAATGCCGGACGGCACGCTAGATATGAAAAATTATCTCAACAGCAAACTTAATCGATTTATCGGAAAAGTGAAGAAATACGAGGATCAGCGACGAACCACAGCTCCGTCAAAAGTAAGTAAAAATGCGTGTATTGAAACGTTCACGTTGACTTATGGGTAACGGGCATACATGATTCATTAGTTGAATGATTTACGGTTAATTTTATTCCTAATAGATTTTGCATTTCTATAATGCACCGACGGATATTTGCGCCAAAAAGATTCACAAAACGGTGACGGAGGCCCTTGGTTGCATGGACTCAATAAGATCCATAACCATTTGTGAGTCGTTCGTCGCCAATTGATTCGTTTATGTGCGAGAACTTTATTGAACTTATTTTTTCTAAACTTTTTTTTTAGTGCCTAAAAAACTTCCAGGCGCTAAGTGTTCAACTGGTCTGGTTGAAATGAAAAGCGTCGAATTGGCGGTAAAGACAATTTTCATTTTGAATCATATGTCATTTGAATCGTCAAGTAGGTTTTAATTATATTATCACTTTAACTATAATATTATTTTTATTGGTAGGATTTCGAGCGTTGTAACAATTATTTATACCTACCCCTGTACCGGAATCGGTTTTCGTAGTGTTTGTGATTTCTCGTCTTCTCCTTGTAGAATCCAGGTTTCCATTTTTAACTAAGTTGTGCTTCTCAAAATGGTCCGATATCCGGCGGCAGTCCACGGGCTCGTCCGATTTGCTGTTGAGCATTACGCCATGCATATCGTCGTCGTTGCACAATTCTGAGTACGCCGTGTCCACGGCTGAGTACCCTATCGCGCGCACGACACTGCAGACGACCGGGCCCGATGGAGCTTCGTGGACGTTGTGGGAAACTAAGGATATTGTGACGGAGGCCATTGACCACGTCGCAGTAAATCTCGAGCGACCCACGGACACATCGCTGAACGAGTTGCGTGTGACCGAGAACCCGCCGACCACATTGTTCACTGCCCCACGGCAAACGAATGACAAAACGTCGTAGTCGTGTAAACGTTACTCCTGGTTCGGAGGAGTTCCATTCGCCTCGTTCGGGCATTGTTAAATATATACGAAATAAATAATAAATATACAATATTTTATAGTTTATTGCACATAACTTTTTATTCCGATTCGCTGATCCGATATTGATATGCACTGACAAACAATGTACGAGTCGTATTTGTACTTGTCCACTTGTAGTAGTGGGTACTGAAATAACTAAAATTATAGAAATAATAGTACAAATTACTTTGCACTACAAACTATTTGCAGCTATTTTTTTTATTAATTACTGTTGTACATCAAAACAATTTTCGATAACTACAATTCAACAAAATTTGTCGCTGTATACCATATTTAATATGGTATACTGCGATAACGATTACAATGAACCTGGATGATGGTGCGAAAAGAAGTGGTGCCCGCAATGACGCCACATACACACTAATAATCATTTACAACTAACACATAGATCTTGGGTGCCGACGATGAGATTAGAAATTGCTTAAATGTTGCTCCTTAAATAAATGCTATAGCAAGGCCCCTTAAGCCTTGGTTTCCAACAACCACGCGTCCGTGAATGCGTGGTGCGCGATGCGCGATTTTTCAATCACACTTGCGTGATGCGTGATGGAGGTGTTTTGCTACACCTTGCGTGGTTTTGTATTCCTACAATTTTCGTCAGTTGATGAATAGCAAAACGTCAAAATGGACGTGATGTCAGTCTTTAATTTGTTGGAAGATGAAGCCGACGACGAACTTCTACTATTGGCCTATTTGTTTAGAGAGGAAAGTGATGAAATGTACAGTGAACGAAACAGGGAAGGCTGCTACAACAACCTTATACACAGACGTTTGATTGACAATGAAACTAAATTTATAGCATATTTTCGAGTTTCCTTTGAGTTATTCAATTATATCCTTAATTATATCAGTGTGATGTATTTACCGTTTTTTCCGATGGTAATTGATATTTATTTCCCGGCGTTTTCTTTAATATTATTGTCCTTATAATTTTTATCATTTAATTTATATAATACGGGGTGGTCCCGAACCATTTCAATGAGTTTTTCATCGTTCACGGCAGTAAATAATTTGGATTCCATTTCGAAAACGATTATTGAATTTTAAAAATTACAATATTTAATATAATAAATATCTATGGATGAGTCGTCCGTGTCATGCAAATGTTGGTCTTCTGGCAACCGTGACGTGATTGACGCGCGTGATAGAAATATCCCACGCGGGAATATTTACGCGCGTGAATTATTAATAAACACCAACATTGATTTCTGGTACTTTAATTTCTATGTGATCACACGTGGTTGTTGGAAACCAAGGCTTTAAGGTGGTTCTAGTCGGTCATTTCCTAAGGAGTTTTTTATTGGCTACCCATCAATCCCGATAATATTTGAGTTAAGAGTGTGTGCGAAGTAAATTAATGTTGGTGTGTGTATCCGCTTATACGGATGCGACCCGCCTGCATTCCCAAAATAACCGATTACACTACTGTCTCCTGCGTCAACCCGCTGACCGTATATCTATCAGTAATCACTAATGATTTATCCACACACAACGCTATTTTAATTTTCTAATAAATGTACCATATACTTATTATCAGGGCTCGGAAGTTACAGCACTAAAAATATTACTTTTTAGCTCTTAAATATGCACTTAAAAACTCTAACATATGCGCTATAAATAGCACGAAAAATCAAAAAAATATGCATTTAACTTGAAAAAAATTTAATTTTACAAATTGTTAGGCTCATTAGACACAATCTGGACTGATTGAATTATAAAATGTTAACAAAAATGTTAAATTACTTAAATATATTTGTAAAAATGTACTTATTATTAAATTACTTTATATATTTATCTTGATAATTATCCTAGATTATTAATATGTTTGATAATCTAATGCAATGATATAATAAAGGAATAACAATGACCTCACTAACTATTGATACAACAAATCATCAATGAAAACATAAAATAATATTTGATGAAGTTATTTATTTCCTATAATTAAAATATTTTTAAAAACATAACCAAGTAAATACAATTATGATCAAAAAAATTTGATTATTTCCTACATTATGTGAAAATATACCCGAAAATAGCAATATAAATCCTAAATTAGCAAAATAGCAATAAAACCCGTAAATATGCAAAAAATAGCAAAATTAAATTTTGTGTATGATTATCCGAGCAGTGAGAAACATATTTGTTTCTTACTTTGGATGTTCTAGGATGAACCAAGAAAAATATGTATTTGCTAGAACTTCCGAGCCCTGCTTATTATTGATATTATTATTTATTATGTACACATTATTGAAAAGATTGGGAATCGATGCACAAATTGTTCAATTCGCCATTCGGATACAAAATTTATATTAACAATATGCATTTTATTAATTTTTTAAAAATACTTCATAAATAAAATATCTAATTGTTTATACTTATATTTACATACATTATTAGTATATAAGTATATTATTTATTATAATTATAAAATTGAAGAATAATAATAATTAAACTCCTAAAATAGCAAAACAATATTTTTAGTATGCAGATATTATAAAAGATGCTACAACAAATATTTTTTTAAAAATAAAATATCATACTGTTATTATTTATAAAACAACAGTACTTTTGAAGATTTATAAACTAAATCATTGAAGATGTTCGATGGAACTATAAAGAAAAAAAAACTAAATAATCGACATAGTCGATATGTCGGTGTCTGAAAGGAAATAGTTGTGCAGGTATCGTGAATATTCTATATGGTCATATAATGTATATGGTGGATCTATCGGTAATAATTTAAATATATAAAATAGGGGTCGGCAACCTTTTGAACCACGCGGGCCATATTTTTTTTCAGATGTTTATCAAGGGCCACTTTAAAAAAAAAAAAATTACATATGATATATACTAATAATTGTATTGCTATTATATTTGATTATTTTACATAGAAATATGAGTGTAAAAAATACGAATGTTACTGGAAAAAATTGCTTTTAAGAAAAAATTTAATTTTTTGATAAATTAAACATAATGGCTTACCTTTGTTTTCGACGAAAAAGTATAAATCAACCCAAGAATTATTAAAAAAACGATGTTCATCACAAATTTTCCTTTTTTTAGTGGCCATAATATTTGGATTTACTTGTAAAATGAAACTATAACAAACGCAAACAATCACAATCACGGTGTAATACTAATTGCTATAAATGCAAAGTAACTATGACCATAGATTAAATATATTAGATACATATGTATTAAATACATAGATTAAATATATTTAAAATTTTAATTTTTAAATATATATAAGTATATTTAATTATATTTATATTTATATTTTTATATTTAATTTATCCTATGACTGAGTAGTGTAGCCATCATTATCTTCAACTCTTATTATGTAATGATAACAATTTTATAGATTAAACTGACTATATAACTATATAGAATCAACATCAACTATTAACGATTAGATTAAATTTTATTTATAAAGAAAAAAAATTTAATGGTATTGAAAATCGTAACAAAAATAAAACACAAAAATTAATCACCTTTGTGCGGGCCATAAAAAATTGCTTCTCGGGCCACATGCGGCCCGCGAACTGCGGGTAGCCGACCCTTATATAAAGTTAATACTTTTTTATTTGAATTTCGGTCTAAATCGTATTTATAGAGTTGTAGTTATTACTCATTATCTAACTTACTAATTACTGTTAAAATGTTATATACAGTGGCGTCGAACCTTTTTTATATCACTGGGGTAAACCCTACTTATGGGTACCCACCTACTCACCAAAAAATCATAAATAGCAAGTATTGTATACCTGTGCGCTACGAGTACTTACTACACATCTAGTCATTACATAATATTATGGAATATTTTATCGTACAATAATATATCTAGCACTCATAAAGTCTAACCACCCACCCACTACCTAAACAATTTCTGGGGTATTTACCCCTCTTGCCATACGTTTTCGGCGCCACTGGTTATATATATATATATAGGCTTAGGGACTTCTAGCATTTGCATACTTTTTTAATTATTGTTAAATATAGCAGAGTGCGAAATAAATTCGTTTCTCTGTGCCATAATATCAGATCTAAAATTTGAATGAGCATATTTTTGCATATTTGATAGATTTTGCAAGAGAATGCTTATTTTAACATTATTATGTTTATTTTGCATATTTTGACAAATTTCTCAAATTTTATTGTTTAAAATTAAAAACTATAGACACATATAACTATATATACATATTTCAACCGATCGAAAAAAAAAATGTACTAAGAGGACTTAATAATTCCATTAATATGCTATCTGCAAACTAACTCTCATATCTCGTTATAATTTTTGTGTAAGTATAAATAATACTATAAATCCGTATCAACCGTATAACTCGCTGAATATTGACTGGATGTCGATAAAGATAATAATAGTAATAATAATAATGATAATAATAGTCGATATAGAATAAATAATGGATTATTTGTATAGTGTTTCAGTTAAGTCGATTATTATTTTTCGTTGTTATTACGTCTTTCAATAACACAACGTCGAATCATACGTAAAATGTCGTACGCGATAATTTGTAACATTGTGTTATGCTGAAAGTACAACAGTTCACGAGTAGCCGACTACAAAGTTTTGTTTCAGAGTTTAAAAATATATTTAAATCCGATGGACACGTTTTATTTTGTGTACTATCTGGTCATTTTTTTTTTTTTTAATGCATATAAATGCATATTTTAATAACTTTAGAAGCATATTTGTGTATTTTTTAGAGCTATAAGTCCCTTAACCTATATATATACAAGTATGTAACTGGTAGATAATATGTGGGATTGTGGTGGCGCCAATGACAGCGGTAGGAACATCGCTATCACTTGACACACCCGGGATACAGCGTTTTCGCACTCGCAAGCACATATCAGATAAATTCATAGAGTAAAGAATGATAAAGGATAAATTCAATCATGAAAAAATCTTGGTATACTTTTCGAGTAAAAACATGCCTCAGCTATGACAATTTTGTGAGACTTAGGTCACGACGATTTTAATCACGTAAATATCCTATAATTTCTAAACGTCTCTTCTAGAGAATGGTCGAAGCTTTTTTTCTAAGTATATTTTTCAACAAATTATATTGAAATTATTATTATTATTGAAAATGTTGAGAAACAGGAAAAATTGCGTTATATGTAAATGTTATAAAAAGTTGAAATTTTGAAAAATGCTCCGACCGTTCTCTAAAAGAGATAATATAGAATTATTGGACTTTTACAGAATTAAATTCGGTCCAGCCAAAGTCCCACAATTTTGTCAGACATATTTGTCTTTTATTCATGTATTTATGACGGGCTAAAACCATTTTAATAAAAATCTATTTTAGTCATTGTGCACCGCATTTCTAGGGATTATTATTAATTATGATTTATAAGTACTTGTGCAAATGCTATTAGGTAAGTAAAAAAAAAACTATTTGTGACTTATGTGAAATATTCATCGTTTTACATAGAAATAATTTATTTTAATAGGAGAGATTATATTTAAAATAAGTTCTTATTAGACATAAATATGTTAAGAAGTATAAATACTTAAGTTATTATTTGATATTATCTAAACTGTGATGATATAAGATTTTTTTTTCAAAATTATTATCTATTATATATTTAAAATATTATTAAAATTATTTTTCATTTAATTGTGAATGTGTAACTCTTCTAAAACTGTATTAATGTAAATGTTTTATTTTTGGTACCTATTTAGGGTTACCATAAATTTATAAAGTGAAACTGGGACAACAGAAACACTATCGAGTAATATACTTTTAATATAACTTTTAATATATTGAGAGGATCAGATCCCTCTAGCCCTTTTTTTAAAAATTATAAAATAAAGCACTATTAATGGCCCGTAATATAATATTTAAAAAGTATTTTGTAAAAAAAAATATTTAATATATTTATATGTGTAAATTACAAAATATGTTTTTATTATATATTGTTAATCGATTACAATTAAAAATGTACTCTAAGATAAAATGATAGAAATTAAAAATTAAACAATACTACATTTCCTCTAAATATCCGAGCCGGAACATATGGACGTCCCAAAAACATTTTTCAGGACACTGGGATGCTAAGTCCAAAACCGGTGACAATCTCGGGACGTATGGTAACCCTATACCTATTTAATATTTCTAAGTCTGTATTAACATCAAAATTCATATTATGGGTTATTTCCTAAAACATGTTTAGCAAAATCTAAATTAGGGGTAATCCTTTTTAATTTTATTTCAAAAATGTGTTATCTACATCTTATTTTAAAATTACGAGTATTATTAGTCTTATCTATATAAAATTAATTATAAAGTATTAATATAAATATAATTGTAATAAATAATATTCAAATTTAGAATATAATAAAACAGAGCTTAGAGATTAAGGAAATGTGAAGCAAGTCTGTTTGCCTTACAAACTCTCTGCTACCCTAAACATTTAGCCCAAATTACACTACTGGCTTTTCAAAACCAATTATTTCAAATTTATTATAACCATTCAACAATATGTATCTATAAATGATTCCAGTGTATTCGCTCTTTTTTTCATTTATCTATTGATGACACAACACAATCCATTTATAACATAACATTTTGAATAGTATTAATATTATCTTGGTTAACAAAGACTGGGGCTTAGCAAAATAAGTTACAAAAAAAAGTTTAACTCTCAACACTATTAATTTAAAAGTATAATTTATTTATATTTAAATTTTTTTGGCCTTGGTGTCATGACAATAGTATAGTACTCATAACTCAAATTTAGAAGTTACAATTAATATATTTCTCAACCTATTTATGAATGATCCACCTGATGGTATGGATAGAAAAATGAATTAGAAATATCTGGCCTGCTAAACATTTATTTCAAAACATAACCAGCAAGTTCATTAAAGCTGGAGACCATTGTGAAATTTAAATTTTCTTTATGAAAAGACAATTATTTAATTCGTGCTTCACATAAAAAATTCATATTTTTTATTTAATTAAAATGAATACTGTTTTATAATTACAATAAATTAATTTCACCTTATTATATAGTTTATTATACTTAAAATCACTAAATTATCACATGTCTGCTTAAATTTAGAGTAAAATTTTTCCAAGATGTACAGCCATAATAATTAAAACAATAATGTATAAGTCTATGGAAATTAAAAGATATCTTTTAATCTTTAATGATGAAAGTTTTCACAATCTTTATTAATACAATTTTTTTTTTTTTTAAGATCTAGTTCTTTAAGGACTTTTAGAATATTTTCTTTTATTTTTATGTTTTTTTTTCTTTTTATGACTACCACTCGACTTATATTTATTAATATAATTTTCATTTGAAACCGATTGCAAATAATTTAAAGGGCTTTTAGAATGCTTAGATTTTTTTTTTGAACTACATTCATTAGAATTGGACCGGGCCCGATGCCTCTTAAACTTTTCTTGATTACTTTCTGAAGATACAGACCGGCTTCTAGACTTTTTTGGCATAATTTCTTTTGATTTTGATCGTGTTTTGGATTTTATAGATTTATTTTCATTAGATTTTATTGGGGTTCTAGATCTTTTGGATTTTTTATATTTTGATCGAGATCTAGATCTCCTGGATCTTTTTAATTTTAATCCACTACTGGACCTTCTCCTACTTCTAGATAATGATCGACTTCTTCTTGATTTTTTAATATCAATATTATGTTCAGAATGTTGAATTCGAGAAATATTAGTTTCTTCATGTGAACTATCATCTTTCTCTTCATAATTCCTCAATAAATTATATTCTTCTGTTTTGATATCAACCCAACGAGTATATGGATGGCCACCAAAATATCGATTACCTTCATATTTAAAAATACAGCGACTGTCAGACGCACTAGTATTGATACTTGTAGTTTCAACACATACAGATTTATCTTCTGGGTTTGACACACTATTTGTTAGACCTTCAACCACTTCTCTCAAAACCTAAATCATCAGATCAATATTAATTATTATAAATCCTACTAATATGAGAACATAAACCTACTTCAATATAAGATTTCCTATCAGTGTGAACTCTTTTTCCACGATAAGCCACTCTTCTACGTTTTAAGTCTCTTTGCTCTTGCAAAAGTTCAAGCTCAGTTTTAGGCTTTTCGTTAGTTCCATTAAACAAATCCAATCTAAAAAAAATATATATTTAATTAGTTTTCATTACAAAAAATTATAAATTATTTTAAACTTTACACTAATAAATTTTTACTGGCATCATCAAGATCAGGATTTACATTTTTCCCAGTAAGACTGTCATACAAAACTTTTCTCTTATCAGCAGTTAAGTTTAAGGAATCTGTAGTAGAATCTACAGCATTTTTTTCTGACTCATGTTTCACATCTATAATAAAAATAATATGATGAATCTTTTAGTTAGCATGATTAATTATGGGATTAATATCAATTAATAAATTAATTACAAAACATAAGCACTAAAAAATAAACAAATAATAATATATAGTAGAGTGAAGTTGAAATAAATCAAATTTGAAAGTAAAGAAAATTGTATAAACAACAGTTCATTTAACATATAAATATATATTATTTTATAACCTTTACATTAGTAGGATAAAATAAATGTCTATATATTGAGTAAATGAATATACTAAATTATTCACAATTACTAAACTGTGCAATTATTCAATAACACTAATAAAAAGTGCATGTATTTAATGATTAACTATCTCTCAAGGGTAATAAGGTAGTGAGCATAAATAGTTAATTTAGCTAAGACAAATTTATAGATTCTGGGTGGTAAGTTAATTAGTTTGCTATCACTAATTTAAAGAATGAACACAATCAATACAAATTAGATTGTAATATATTTTTAATATGTTACATAACTAATTAAAAACTTATATTATCTATTCAAACATGATTTTTTAACCCTTCAGATTTTGAACAGCCCTCAGCCATCTAATTTATTTGAACAATAACCAATTGTAAATAGAAATTAAAAAAAATAGGAAGAAATGACTAAATTAATTAAACACTTCAGTTTAGGCATTTAAAAAAATATGCAAAATTAAATAGTTTACCAATTTTTAAAGATGATGAAGAACTACAATATGCTGCATACAATGATTCATATCCATTAAATTCCAATATTTTCGGATGACTACCATCAAAATTTAAAGGTGGTATTTTTTGTTTACTTTTAAGTGTGCATTTTACCAATGAATCCTAAACAGTTAACATATTTAATTATATTCCTACAAGTAAAAATTTAAAAATATATAATGGAAAATCAGTTTTACAATACATTAAAAAAATTAATACTTTACATTGAAAAAACACTTTTTAAAAATAATTTATATTACCTTATTGAGAGAATTAAAAAAATATAATATATTAATTTAAAACGCGTTTTGAGTATTAGGGGGAAAAAAAGGAAAATTTGAAGAAAAATACCTTAATGTTTGTCATTAATTATTAAAAAAAACAACAAAATGTTTTATAGTTACATCGGTTGGTGTTTTGTCCAGTGACCATCCAATTTTTTTGGTAAAATTTTCAAGTGTTTTAGTTGCATTATGAATATAGTTTTCAAACTGCTTTAATGTATTTTTTCTGCAGAGCAGTTCCTCCGATGATAATTCCATTTCTTTTTCACAGTTTAACAAATCATCATACAATCATCATTACGTACACAGTGATATGTATGTAGGTACCATTACCCCACACATTAATCTTAAATACAAATGTTCACGAGTTCTTCACGAACAATTAATATTCCCATTGTTCGTCGGTAATTAAACAATGAAAAGGTGAAAAATTCCTGAAATCATTTGTAAATCATGATTTTATTTCAATTCAAAAACAATAAATAATACACAAATCAATATCCTGTAATACGGTATAACAAACAATTCCTTAATTATTTTCAACTATGCGTTTCTACCGTTCCTGACCGAATAAACAAATACTTATCACTTATCAGTAAATACCAGTCACAAATAGATAACATAATAACCTTAAATAAATAATCGTGAAAAACTAACAAACGAATAAATAAAAACTAATCTTTTCTGTGGTACGATAACACTACACAGTCTTTCCCGCTATTTTTAACAAAATATGGAATTAAATTTACTTTATCACAGAACACACAAAATCATAACATTCATAACTCGTGTTCTCTGCACGGCTACGGTGTTTGAAAGTTAAAATTAATGATCGAAAACAACGATAGACAATATTATCCTATTTCGTGATATTATGCTGAACTTATAATGCTCGTATAAAACCCACGTCTCTGCTGCTGATTGTAATTTATACGGATCGAGTGTCATATTTTTACTCGCTAACAACGAAATGGAAGTTATGGATGTCGATATCGCCGAAGCAGGCCCTTCCACTTCGGCAGTCGTTACTAATCTTACGGAAGAATCCACTGGTTCACAAACTACGACAGTGAAAAGTGATTTGAATACACCATGGTTAGTATATTTTCAAGTTCGTAACTTTCATTCGTGCTTTTATTCTTTTTTTTTGAATTCAGGATCGAAAAGTATCGTCCTAAAACATTTTCGGACATTGTTGGAAATGAAGAAACTGTCTTACGGCTTGAAAAGTTCTCTTCTTGTGGAAACGTGCCAAATATTATTATTGCTGTAAGTGTGTAAAACTAAACAAAACATTGTTTTTTTTATTTTATTTATTATTTTTGAACATAACTAATGTATGATGGATTATTAGGGTCCTCCTGGTGTTGGTAAAACCACAACGATTTTGGCACTTGCTAGAATACTTTTAGGTAGTGCATTCAAGGAAGCTGTACTAGAACTAAATGCATCTAGTGATCGTGGTATTGAAACAGTTCGAAACAAAATCAAAATGTTTGCACAACAGAAAGTTACATTGCCTCCGGGTAGACATAAAATAATTATTTTGGATGAAGCAGATAGGTGATTAACAATTCAGAATAATTAGTTGAGTCAATATTAATAGTTAAAATATTTTTTTATCTTTAGTATGACTGATGGAGCTCAACAAGCACTTAGACGTACAATGGAATTATGGAGTAACACAACAAGATTTGCTCTTGCTTGTAATAATAGTGATAAAATTATTGAAGCAATTCAGTCACGTTGTGCTATGTTGAGATATGGAAAACTTTCTGATCAAGAAATCATGACCCAGTTGCTAAAAGTCTGCAAAATTGAAGGGGTATTATTGTAATTATGGTTTTTAATCAATTTTTATAATATCAATGTTCACTTATTTAGGTGTCATATAGTGCTGACGGCTTAGAAGCAGTTGTATTTACTTCTCAAGGAGACATGCGACAAGCATTGAACAATTTACAGTCTACATGGAATGGTTTTAAACATGTTGATAGCACTAATGTGTTTAAAGTTTGTGATGAACCACATCCCTTACTTATCAAAGAAATGCTATTAGAATGTGTTGATCAAAATATCTCCAAGGCGTATAAAGTCAGAAAAACATTATTAATATTGTGATTTTAAAATTTCATATACTAATTATTTTTATTTTTATTAGATAATGGCCCATTTATGGAAACTTGGTTATGCTCCTGAAGACATCATAGTTAACATATTTAGAGTGGCTAAACATCTAGAAATTAAAGAATCTCTAAAATTAAAATTCATAATGGTAAATATTTAACTATACTGGGAGATTATTGTAGTTGATAAAATCAGTTATATATTTCTGTATACTATATAGTCCAACAATAAATTTTGATTCGTCAATTAATTGCTTGATTCAAATTTTTAATTTAATAAAAGTAAATTAATAGGTTTTATTAAATTATAAATTATTTAACGTTAATGATTTTAAGTGATGTATAAATACATATAAACACTTACATCAGCTAAGATATACAATAAATTATAATAAAACTTAAAAGAATGAATTATTAGATTTTTATTTATGACCACTAAAACAAAAATCTAGGTTTCATTACTATAAATCAGGTTTGGAAATATAAGTGTATGAAACGTTTTATCCGTTACACGTATAAAACATTTAAAATTACCAAAACATATATAATTTGTTTTTGAAATTCACTCTTAAAAATTAAAAATACTTCCTATTTCAGATATTAAGTAAGGTTTTTAATTTTTATACATAGTAAAAATATATTTTACTACTTAAAGTAGATATTATATAACTATTTTAATTTTTATACTTAATTATTTTACTTTAGTTTATACGTACGTATAATACGTGTTTTATATGTTTCAACTCTGATATAAATATAAACCCAAATTAATTCAGATAATTGCTGCCATGCTCTCATTGATATTATTTATATATTTCTAATTAAATATAGTTTGAAACTAATAATTAATTACATTTTTAGGAAATTGGGCAGGTTCATATAAGGATTGTTGGAGGATTGAACTCGCTTCTTCAATTATCGGCGTTGTTGGCTAAACTGTGTACACTATCAGCAACAACAGAAAAATAATTATTGTATTTTAATTTTAAATTATAGTAACTTATATTTAATTTTTTTCCTAATATAAATACATATATGTATATTCAAATGTTTTTTTTTTGTCTAGAGATGAATTGAATTCATGTGGAACATTTATTTAAAGAAGATAAAAAAAACAAATTTTTACGTAAAATAGTAATAATTATTCAACTATCAAAAATTATAATATGAGTTTTAGTGTTTGGGTTTTTTTTTTATTATTTCTGATATTAAAATGTAAATAAAACGTAAAAGCTAATTTTATATTTATTTTATTTATTAATCAATTCAAATATAAATTTTTATATTTATACCATTGATTATATATCTATCCTATAATCAATAAGATATAATCAATACCTTATTCATATTTATCCTTTTTAGGAACCACATGTAAGCTACTGATTACTAACTCCAATACTAACACCTATTATTTATATATATTATATAATAAGCTTATTTATTTGTTGAAAATATTTAATATTATGTCAGATTATTCCATTTAAATATTTTCTCTTAAACAATCAATTTTTTGAATGAATCAGTATGATTTATAAAACAACCAGTAAAACTATATTTTTAAACACCCTTTCTATTAATAACAAAAGGACAATTTATTTTTAGAAAAAAAACTATAAATAGTTAAGAAGAGTTAAGTCTTTTATTTTACTATAAAATAAATCTTTTTTTTTTTTTTTTAAAAATACCAATAAATTTTTTTAAACTTTATTTTTATTTATTTAATTATTTTCTTTTAAATAAAAAAAATCATTGTATTAATCAATAGCAAATTAAAACTTAACAAGGTTTCAAAATAAAAAGTATTGAAAAAACGATACAAAATATTAATTAAAATATATTTTAAAAAATCTTAACTTATAACTTATGAATTGTGATTTATAAATCTTATTTTCATGATGTATAATTTAAATAAATAAGGTCGTTAAAAAAAACAATACTTTTGAAATGTGTAATATTTCGAAATCGATTTTCATTTGGTTTACTAAGGGTGGTTTGGCCTGACAAATGAGCATCAGATACACAAGTTTTCATCAGTAACAAATGATCTAATAATTGTGCTAATTTAGATGAATGCCATTCTTTAGGAATGTCTTTTGTGTGTTCCGAATTTGCTATATTGTTTGCCCGAGAAGATGGAATCATTGGATAATTTGGATCTGACTCAATTTGTTCAAACAATTCTTGAACCAAATTTTGATTTCCTGAGTTTATTTTGAGCTGCATAGCTGTTGCAGTTACCACAGTGATAACAGTGGACATAGCAATCATTTGTTTTAGTTTCTGATGTAAAATCTTCTTGCGGTACAACTATATAACACAAAATATGATATAAATTTCTATAATAAATAACTAAAAAAATTAACTAACCTTTCTAATTTTTTGTACAACAGATGAGATCAATATGAATATTTTAAATAAGACGGAGTTAGATTTTTTCATATCAACAAATAGTTGGTTGACTATCTGCTTATGTCTAACATTAAATTCTTCATCACTAATAAAAAATTCCCAGTTCTAGAAAAACATAAAAATAAACAATAAATATTTTGTTTACATTCAAGTTGACCATATAATAAATATTAATTTCAATATTTGGTAAATAAGATTTCATACATAATATTCTAAATACAGCAGCTATATTTATTAAAAATAATTTATACTAAACAATTAATAATTCAAATATTTTGCAACAAATGGTCAACATTATTTTTTTCGATATCAAATTATTCGACAATCTTCAGGTAAGTCGATTTTTGGTGAAAATGGGATTTTTATAGACTGATTTTTCATTTTTATAAATAAATAAAACGGGATCTCTCATTTTCACCAACAATATAAAGTTATAGTTAAAAGTAATTTGAGATGAAAACAAAAATATTTGAGTAAAATTACCATAAGCCCAATTTGGAGGAGGCTTGGGTGTGCTTATCACCCCCAAATGTGTTCATGTTAATTTATATTTAAATACTCATAACTTATTATGTATAGAAAAATAGAGTTTTAATTGTATAAATATATAAATTTACTATTTAAATAATGGTGGTGGATGTTTATCCTTTGTCTTTTTGGTTCTTGAACTGGATAATAGTAGTAGGTAGGGTTACCAAATTTTGAAATCCCTAAACTTAAACCATTATATTGAATGACTCGTAAAGACTTTCAAAAAATAAGGTATTTTTAAAGTTCTGTATTTAAATCAAAATTGCCATAAGACAATTTTATCATATATGAAAAAAATATCTTTGCTACAGGGTAAAAGTTTCAAGTTTCTAGCCACATTACTTTTATAAGTAATTTATACTTTTATACTTTTATATTACTAAATAACTAAAATCTGAAAAGTGAATGACTCATTTATAGCGTATTTTTACTGTTTCAGGACAGTTTTTACCTCACGCCTAGAAAAACTAAAATTAAGATTTTAAAAAAACGACCTATTTAAAGTATCACTGCATGCCAATTTAAAATCTAAACATTTCCTAGAAAAAACTTTTGGACCAGTATTTCTATGCGAAAGTGTTAAAAAAATAAAATACAAACATCATTATAAAACCATAATATTCTTCGCTTCAATTAGAAACTGAAAGTGATCATGTGATGAAATATTTGTGTTTACAGATGGGTAATTCATTATAAGCGCAATTAACCAAAGTGAACAATTTAAACTTAAAAATATTCAAATATTTATTAAATATTTTAGTAACTGTTGAATCGTATGGGTTGTGGGTGTATATTACCATTAAGAAATATGAAAAAGATAGAAGGCTTCAGCACCCCCAGTTTTTTCATAAAAATTGCGCTCCTGAAAATAACATAAGTGTAGTTATTCCTTTTTGACCACTTTTAAAATGTATTAGTAAATTGATAAGTTAATTTTAGCTTGAGAACAACAGGATAAAGACTGATAAATTTTAAAATATAGATGTCTATATGTATTTTTTTGATAGGAGTGTATATTTTTTTTCTTTAATATGATATTTTAGTATATATAAAGTTTATAATAAATCTCCTGAAAAGTTGTGAATTTCGTCTTAACCCGTTTTACTAGGAGACAGTCGAATTATACTAAAAAGTTGTTTAGTAAAATGTATGATTACAATTTAGATTTAATGTGTAAATGTCTTTTACCATTGCAGATAAATAATCTTTTTCCATTTGATTGATTGTTTTAATACTAATACCATAAGCTGCGGCCCATTCACTATTAATTGCTGAATCTAATTCGCCATCATCATGAAGGTATTTACTGGCAACCAACTAAACAAATAAAAAAGTAAATTATAAATTTAATTTATTTTACAATATATTATGGTAATTTTATAATTTATGAAGTTTACCAAAGATATAAGAAATAATTCTGATGAGTTAACTGATTTCAAATAACTAGGATTTGATGCTTTGAGCCGTTCAAAATACACTATTGCTAGTACAAATGAACACGTATATACATAGGGAGATTCATCTTCACTGTCAGTATAATAATCTTCAAATGTTGATATTAATTTTCCAGTTTTGAGTTCTTGAGCTAACTCTGTAATTGAACAAAGTTGAATAAAAAAAATTATTACATGTACCTATACCTATTTATTTTATTTTATTTGCAGAATATTAAATGTAGCAAATTTAAATAGAAGTAATTAAATTCAAAAATGTATTTCATTGGATAAAAATTAAAGCTAACAACAGTCAACATTTTTGCAAATTTTGTATCTTAGGTATTTTAATCCAATTTAATTTAATTATAAAACAGTTTTTTTATATTTGAAGTAAGTATACATAATACTTAATATGAAATAAATAACCATAATTTTAAAATGTAAACATTTATAATATTATAAAAAAATTGAATATTAAGTTTTAATGATATTATTGTGATAAGTACAGAGTAAAATATTGCATTATTCAAAATTTCCAAAAATCTATTCTATTTAACTAACTTTATTTTTATGATATAGATTAAAAAAAATAAGAACCATAATATTATAAATTAAATGAAAATATCCAATGTAATGTTAAAACGTAGTACAGTTTAAATAATTAATTAATGAAAAGGTTATCAATTGAATGGAAAAAATATTTAAATGTGTAATAAGAGAATATTATGAAGGGTAAACGCCTCCTACTAGATATTGAGAATTAGCAGTCTCTGATACGATTAAAATAATATTACGATCAATCTTAAAATGTTCAGTGTAGCATCGAGTGCTATAAGCACAAGACTAAATATTCACCTACCAGATAAAGGCAAACGTCCCAAATTCGAATTCAATGGCAGTTTGCTGAAATTCTCGCAGCAAAGGGCTGAAGTCAATTTGGACAGAAACAAATCATGGTCCTGTTCATTGTCCAAATTCTGAAATGAGAACATGGCAACGATAAACGAGGGATATTTTCCATGGCATCGCGCATGGTGCGTGGTGACCACTCACCTTGGCATTGGGAAGTTTTATCCTGTTACGGGTTTTCAAACAATACTTGGAAGACGTCATAACGTGGTCGGTCAGTGACTTATAACTACTTCTCACTGATCGGTTCAACTAGACGACGATTTTCGGACGAGCTGCGAACGTCAACGACGGTGGTCTCCAACTCGAGCGATCGCTACGCTCGAAGGTGATAAATAAAATAAAAATGAAATACGACCTTATGATGGTGACCAACGGCCGCGGGAGTTGATAAAATGCTTCGAATAGCAATGTTGTGTCGTCGCAGAATGATAACGGCGCGTTTGTGTGCGTGCCGATTTCTATTATCACACAATACCGCCGTGCGAGCCAGTGTGCCAGTTCGCGCGTTCTCAGTCTCCGCGCCATATTTAGACGAACTGAGCGGCAACGATCTTCTATACGGTGTTGTCACATGGACGTATTTTAGGGGGGGGTGCAAAGGGGCGATTTCCCCCCCTTGAATCCGTATTTAAGGAATTTATTACATGTGAGATACTTATTTGAAATTTTTTTTTCTGTGGATCATTTTATAACGAAATCAAATTAGGCGTGGCTGTGAATACTGAATTGGGCTTTTTTTTTAAATTTACTTTTTTGTATTTTGGTATATATCCTATACTTAGTGAAAAATCAAATAAAACATAAGCGTAACTTCTAAAACGCAGACAAGTGTTAAAAAAGAACTACACAATAGCCGTTTCTTAGTCGATCCAGCATTAGATTAAAAAAAAAAAAAAACCACAAATGTTAAGGATTTAAATATTTGAATATTTAAATATTAAAAATTTAAATATTACCTGATTTAAATATTACCAAAAATTTTACTCGCACATTTTGAGTCTGAACTAAAGAAAATATTTGAGTCGCTCCCCCCCTCCCCTAGAAATAAGTCTAAATACGCCTCTGTGTCATCGTTGTGTTCCGTATTAAAAAAAAAAATCTGATGAAAATGTTTATTCCCATTGATTGTCGCGCATCAAGTTCCATGCCGTTCAGGGCTATCCGCAACGGTATCGAATTTACGCGGTCCAAGGCTGAAAATAGATGATGGCAGACGCGCATGGACACTATAGGCTCCCAACATCTCTCGTAGTGCTTACAAAAATGTAACATTTCTCCTAAAAGTTCATCGGAATGCTGGACCGCTTTAAAATAAAAACCTGCATTAAACAATTTCACGCATTCATACCGATCATAAAATCTCTAACCCAATGAATGTACTTTATTTCCCGACCGGTTATACTATAGACATCAGTGGCGTATATAGGTTTTCATTTCGGAGGAGGCCGATTATGTATTTGATTTTTGGGTGGAAGGGAAGAAGGAAGCACACTATTACGAAAAAAATTACTTGAACACTATAAGACTTCTCGACTGTCTTAATACCAACAGAGAAATAAAAAATTCAATTTTTTTAATGATTTATTATTTTTTAAAAGTATAAAAACTACATTATAATAGACAAATTTTTTATTAGAGTCACTCAAAATCCACCACATATTTTCTTAAAAGAATAAACATATTTTATAAATATAAAATTTTAAATTATCGCATAAGCAACATTCTCAGTGCCACGAAAAATTTTCGGAAACCCCCAGCATTAAGACTTATCCATGTTAAAATTAACAGTCTTTAACAATGGTGTTTTTCATTTCGGAGGGGGCCCGGGCCCAATCGCCCCCCCCCCATAAATACGCCCCTGATAAACGTTAAACTATTCCAGCGACTAAAATTGTGTGCAATACGACACACTTTGTGTAATACAAAATTTTAAATATGTAATACGAAATTAAAAAGTGTGTTGTGATTCTATTCTTTATATTATGGTATTTATTTTTAATTTTATATATTTTTGAAAGGGAAGTACGACAAAATCCTTAAGTGTGCAGTACGAAAAAGTATATATTTTAGCCTCTGAACTATTCGTATCCCATTATATTGGTACAATCGATGAGAGGGTGAATATACATAACTTAATCGTAGAAGTCAATTTTTTTAATCGATAAAATGTGTTTTACATTCAAAGAAACTATTATTACAAAAATATACATACAAAATAATGTAGTTATCTACTTTTACTTATAAAACCATATAAGTAGGTCTTCAGGCTTACGGCCATGTGATTATAGTTACCTATAATTTATTAAATTCTCGTGCTTCTATTACGGTGTTACTAAAATTATAAATAATTACTTACATATAGAATTTTGTAATATTACAACTGATTATATGTAAATTTTATATAATACCTATTAACACATTTCAACCGGTCTCGGCTTACGTAGGTATCATAGTTGATTTATCGACATGAATATTAATCTTACCCAAAATGTAAATATGTTTTTTGGTAATTAATAGCTTTTATGTTTACTGAGTGCCTATTAATAAAATTTGAAATATGAAATACCGTGTTAGAATTTATAAACTAAACATAAATATACTAAATTCATGGTACGTCGAAAAAAACATATTTTATTTAGTTTTGACACGTTATGTGTTTTTCGATAGTAGACAAATATAACTGTACAAATCATTTATTTAAACTAAAATTATAATTCATGAAAAATATGTATATAGCTGTTGAATTTTTAGAAAAAAAATTTCCTAGTTTTGACTTTAGAATAGGTACCTATTTATAGATATCACTTGTCGATTGTTATATATTCCAATGTTGTTTCTTTTATTCTATATACAGTTATAAACAGTGTCGTCTATCTAAAGATTTTTACAATTCAAACTTACAACAATTAATTTATTTGGTATTTCCATGAGAAATGTATTTTTTATATAGAATTCGACAAGTAGCTACATTTCTAAAGAGAAGTTATGAAAATTTGTTCTTTTAATTTTATAATTATTTAAATCACTTATATTGATTATATAATGAACGAAGGAAATAACGAAAAAATCTTTCAAGAAATTTTAATACATTCCTTCATTTTCAATATAAAATCTGTTAAGTTTCTCAAAAATCAAAAAAAATAAATCAAAAGGACGCGTTCCTTGGACCCCCGAGGGTCTGCACTCCCGGGGGAAAAATGTTTTATGCTGTACACCAGTGGTTCTCAACCGCCGCGGCACCGGTCCGCGATAAAAGAGATGCCGGTCCGTATTGTGTTGTCATCTGATTTATTTTTAGTGTAGCGTTAGGAATTTTATTAGTGTATTATATTACCCGTATACTATCGCAACAATTAGTTTCATATCTACATTATTGATTCAGCTTTCAATTGCAACTGTGACGTTGCGGCTGTACGACGTTATTTTGTTTAATAAAAATGAATTTTAAACAAACAAACTTACTGAATTTTTACAAAAAAAATAATAATGATATTGCCACCAATTCAGTTTCGGAATCCGTTGATAATATCATTGCATCACCATCTAAGAAGAAGAAAAAAGGTACATTTGTTCGTAATTATAATGATGATTATATTAATTATGGATTTATTTGTTTTTCTTCTGATTCAAACGACATACCGAAACCGCAATGCGTATTGTGTTCTGTGATTTTATCTAATGAAGCAATGAAGCCTGCTAAACTTATTCGTCACTTGGAATCAAAGCATAAAGAATTTAATAACAAACCTATAGATTTTTTTATTCGAAAAGGTAAAGAGTTAACGGCTCAAAAAAAAGTTATGTCTGCAACTTCTAAGGTTGATTACTCATTAGTTAAAGCATCTTATCTGGTAGCATTTCGTATAGCCAAATGCAAAAAACCGTATAATATCGGGGAAACTTTAATTAAACCTTGTTTACTTGATGTTACTAGTGAATTTTTAGGGCCTTCCGCTACTAAAAAAATGAATGATTTACCTTTGTCTAATGACACGATTTCTAGAAGAATAATTGATATTTCTGTAGATATCGAAGAACAAGTTATAGATAAAATTAAATTATCGAAATGGTTTTCAATACAACTTGACGAATCAACTGATGTATCTCAAAAAGCAATTTTGCTATGTTACGTGCGTTTTATTGATTTTCAAACATCAGAAATGTGTGAAGATTTATTGTGTTGTTGTGAATTACCTTCACATACTACAGGGAGTGAAGTATTTAAACGATTAAATGAGTATCTAAAAAAAAACCAACTAAACTGGGAAAATTGTGTGTCTGTGTGCACGGATGGTGCCGCAAGTATGACCGGAAAATATTCTGGTGTAGTTTCCAGAATTAAAAATGTAGCAAACATACATTTTGTTCATATACATTGTATTATACATAAACAACATTTAGTTGCGAAAAAAATGTCACCTGATTTGAATGAAGTATTGACTGAGGCAGTAAAAATAATTAATTTTATTAAATGTAATGCCTTAAATTCTAGATTATTTTTAATTTTATGTGAGGAAATGGAATCTGAACATTCTCATTTATTGATGCACGCAGAGGTTCGGTGGTTATCCCGTGGTAGAGTCTTGAATAGATTTGTTGAATTAAGAAAAGAAATTGAATTATTTTTAATTCAAAAGAAAAGTAATTACATTTCAATTATTCAAAATACTGAATGGATCGCAAAATGTATTTATTTATCTGATATTTTTAACTTAATAAATACCCTTAATTTAAGTTTACAAGGTCCACTCACAACAATTTTCACCATGTTAAATAAAGTTTATGCATTTAAAAAAAAAATACAGTTGTGGATAACGCTTATTCAAGAAAGAAACTATGAGATGTTTGAATCTTTTTCATCATTTATAGAAACTAATGAGTTAAAGATCGATAGTAATATCAAAATTACTATCGAAAATCATTTGCAATCATTGTATGATACGTTTGAAGATTATTATCCAGTGAATCAAGATCCACGAGACGGATATTTGTGGGTACAAAATCCATTTTTAACAAACTCTCAACATAAATTGTGTTTAAAAGAACAAGAACTTTTGTAAGAGATATCATCAGATATTGGTCTACAATCTAAATTTAAAACAATATCTGTAACCAAATTTTGGATTGAACTCAAGGACGAGTATTACGTGCTTTTCGAAAAAGCAATGAAAATTTTTCTTCCATTTTCTTCGACATATCTATGTGAAGCTGGATTTTCTGGAATGACCCATATAAAAACCAAAACTAGAAATAGGCTCGATGCCACACATAGTTTACGTGTATCTTTGACAACTACAGTGGAACCAAGATTTGATAAAATTGTTAAAACAAAACAAGCACAACGCTCTCATTAAAATGTAATATTTTATTTATAAATATATTGTTAAAAATTAACTAAAAAGTACTCATTAAAATGTAATTTTTGATTTATAAAAATATTATTAAGAATTAATTAAAAGTATAATACTTAAATCTTGCAATCAAAACTAGAAAAATTAGTTATAGTATAGTAATAAAATGTAACATAAATTAATAAATTAACACATGTTGTGATTAATTTTGTGTATTCTTGTTGATGAACAAAAAAAAAAAAAAGTCTTCCTAGTTCCTAGTTTTTGTAAAATTGAGGTGGTTCGTGA